ATTATGTGTTGTATAATGTGTTTTTAGGTACGCTTGAATTACGTGTTTGAATTACCATTTATCATGCAGTTTAATTACTGTGGGTTGTATTATCAGATGTATTGAATTAACTCGCGTTCAATTACCACGCAATCGAATTATCATGCCTTTGAATTACCACGCGTTGTATTACCACGCCCCCGAGTCACCACGCGTTGTATTTCCACGCCCCCGAGTCACCACGCGTGGAATTTGCACGCGTTGCATTACCACGCCCCCGAGTCACCACGCGTGGTAGCACCACGCCCCCGAATCACCACGCGTGGTAGTACGACGCCTCCGAATCACCACGCGTGGTATTACCACGCCTCCGACTCACCACGCGTGGTATTACCACGCACCCGTGGTATTACCACGCCCCCGAATCACCACGCGTGGTATTACCACGCCCCCGAATCACCACGCGTGGTATTACCACGCCCCCGAATCACCACGCGTGGTATTACCACGCCCCCGAATCACCACGCGTGGTATTACCACGCCCCCGAATCACCACGCGTGGTATTACCACGCCCCCGAATCACCACGCGTGGTATTACCACGCCCCCGAATCACCACGCGTGGTATTACCACGCCCCCGAATCACCACGCGTGGTATTACCACGCCCCCGAATCACCACGCGTGGTATTACCACGCCCCCGAATCACCACGCGTGGTATTACCACGCCTCCGAATCACAACGCGTGATATCACCACGCCCCCGAACCACCACGCATGGTATTACCACGCCCCCGAATCACCACGCGTCCCAATTTTTCACGCGTTGTATCACCACGCGCCCAAATTACCACGCGCCCGAATTACCACGCGTTGTATCCCTACGCGTCCCGAATTCTCACGTGTCGTATCTCCACGCGTTGTATCACCACGCCCCTATATTATCAAGCGTCCCAACTACCAAGCTCCCAAATTCCCACACGTGAGAAAACTCCACGTACACCATAAAACACCAACTGAATTAAATAATCAATGTACCCATTTAAGTATAAAAAGTTCGGCGCACCGCAAGTTGAACGACCCAAAGGAAAAACGTTCCGGCGGCGTTTGGTCGGGCGATCGCGGCAAAAATAGCGATCTCAGGGGTCTAAAGAAAGGGAAACGTCGGTTCATTGACGAAAAGTAATAGGCACGAGCATTGAAAGGTCTCGAGTGGCTGCTTCATGTCGTGTCTGTATGCCCGCCACGTTGCTGTGAGTCACGGGAACGCAACAACAACATGGTTGGATGTTGCAACGGGAATGACAACGTACGATGACTAACAAACTTGTAACCGACCAGAAAGGACGGTGAAAATAATTTTCGTGAGGATTTGCATGCAACACGTTTTAATAATTCATACGCGTTTAATTAATCGGACCAGGTCATCGTAGTATAGTTATGCATTGTATGAGGTTGCGTGACGTATTCGGGGCGCGGGCAATCTGTCTTGATTTCATGACAGAAAAGTGTTACGAAATAGCGCTTGTGATATATCGATTTGAAGCTTGGAGTCTGACGAAAATAACTGCATGAAGGCTTCGTTGATATTCTTTACATGAAATGAGTGTTTCTTAAAATTAGACCTTCGCTAATGGCAAGAATGAACTGTAAACTTCGTTCATTGTTTGCTATTTTGAATTATTAATTATATTGATAGAATTGATGAGGAATTTATGTGAACATTTTTGTGGGACCTCAAGCTTTAAATTGATGTAACATAAGTGCTGTTTGAAGATACTTTTATGTCATCAAATCGTGTCAGACTAAACACTAAATCCTAACATGGTTGCGTTCCTTGATTTTCATTGATTCATTGATTCATTGATTTGGTTTGTGTTGACTACATAGTTGTTTCAAAAGAAGGACAAGTTTATAACAATAAAATTAGCAATTCTCCATGCAAGAAGTGAAAGATCACGTCTCCAGCAGAAGTCACGAATGTCAACGTGGTTCTTCAGCATGCAAGTTCAACGCACTCGAGCTGATTGGTTACAGACTCGCATTTTGAACATTTCCCACGAAGAAGATAGCAAAGAAGGGAGGAATATACGAGCAAAGTAAACACGAAGCCGGTCAATTTGTTGGGCCGAACCGTGTCATCGGTCCAAAGCGTGACAGCCGCGAGGAGGACGAAGCCGATGCACGCGAGACCGAGACGAAAGTTGGTCCCGTTCTATTATTAGCAGAGTTCCAGCCAAGTGCAACATCGCGATCGAAGAGGAACGCATATGGCCAGCAATGAGAGAAGCAGAGCAAAGCGGAAAGGAGACGAGAAAGGAAGGGAGACGGTCTTTGCCTCTTTGCGAGAATCGCTTGCCTCGATCATCTCGATATGTTTTCTGACGATACTGGTACTTTGTACATGGTTAATTTCCATATTCTAGGATTTTTTGTGGTAGTAGTTTTGGTTTTGCAAGTTTTGGGTGTTTTTGAAGTTAATTTTAGACTAGGTTGCTGGGAATTTGGGACTTTTGGGGTTTGGGGCGTGGAAATTTGTACCTTGAGAACTTAGGGGCGTGGAAATTTCAACCTTAAGAATTTGGGGGCGTGGAAATCTCAGCTTTGAGAATTTAAGGGCGTGGAAATTTCAAGCTTGAGAATTTGGGGGCGTGGAAATTTCAAGCTGCGAATTTAGGGGCGTGGAAATCTCAACCTTAAGAATTTGGGGGCGTGGAAATTTCAAGCTTGAGAATTTGGGGGCGTGGAAATTTCAAGCTTGAGAAATTAGGGGCGTGGAAATTTTCAAGCTTGAGAAATTAGGGGCGTGGAAATTTCAAGCTTGAGAATTTGGGGGCGTGGAAATTTCAACCTTGAGAATTTAGGGGCGTGGAAATTTCAAGCTTGAGAATTTGGGGGCGTGGAAATTTCAACCTTGAGAATTTAGGGGCGTGGAAATTTCAAGCTTGAGAATTTGGGGACGTGGAAATTTCAACCTTGAGAATTTAGGGGCGTGGAAATTTCAAGCTTGCGAATTTAGAGGCGTGGAAATTTCGATCCTGAGAATTTAGGGGCGTAGAAATTCCAACCTTGAGAATTAGGGGCGTGGAAATCTCAACCTTGCGAATTTAGGGGCGTGAAAATTTCAAGCTTGCGAATTTGGGGGCGTGGAAATTTCAAGCTTGAGAAATTAGGGGCGTGGAAATCTCAACCTTGCGAATTTAGGGGCGTGGAAATTTCAAGCTTGCGAATTTAGAGGCGTGGAAATTTCGATCCTGAGATTTTAGGGGCGTGGAAATTCCAACCTTGAGAATTAGCGGCGTGGAAATCTCAACCTTGTGAATTTAGGGGCGTGGAAATCTCAACCTTGAGAATTTGGGGGCGTGGAAATTTAAACCTTGAGACTTTAGAGGCATGGAAATTTTAACCTCGAAAATTTGAAATCCCAGAAATGTTCCTCGAAGATTAAAACACCTAATAATTTTACTCCTTGAAAATGTAGAATCCTACAAATATTCCTAAAGGATCTGTAAACCCAGAAATGTTACTCCTGAACAATTTGCAGTCCCAGAAGTGTTCCCCAAGAAAAATGATTTACACCGAAGGAAACTTGAGTTAGAATCCATAAGAGAGCTCTTCAGTTCAATTATTCGCCCATATAATTTTGTAACTCCTAGCGTACGTAACAAATGTTTTGCTTTCTGGTTGTAAACGACCGCAAGCAAATTGGTCCGTCGATAAATTTCACCGCGCAAAAATATACTCTGCTTTCTTTGCGTGTTCTTTATGAACGCAGTTTGCATTTGTATTCCGACAGCTGCGAATCTCGAAAGAATAACTTCCTTCGCTTTTCTTGCGTACACTAACGGTTCGACTACTTTTCTCTCCTGTAAACTGCGGCAAAATTTCAACAATCAACTAATAAATGATAAAAAATAAATGATGATCGAAAACTCTATTAGCGTTGAAAATGTGTACCGTTAAATCTCGAATAAACGAGAAATTCATGCGAAGAAGAAGTTCTGTGAAATTCTTGTGTGAAGAAGCAAAAGTCATGTGCGTACTTTTACTTACAACTCTTTCGTTGAACCGCATCTGCAGCGTACGAAATGTAAAAAATCGCATGCATGAATGCGGACAGGTTCATTGGCCCAGTTGCTTCTCCGTCTGCCTTCATGGGGAATTGGGAACCATCAGAGCAGCTCGTTTGTTTACACGATATTGTTATGTTTCGCGGAGCGTGCAAGTTAAAAGCACACGGTGCTTCCTAGCCAGACACTACATCACTGCCGTTTATAATACACAAACGTTCTTGTTGCAATATTTGCATCGCGTGCAAAATTGTACCTGTTCTCAAACATTTATCGGATGCGGTGATTTATTGAGCGTGGAGATAGCGGGGGAGTCTGGGAAACGGAGAGGAATTTGGATCTGGAGAGAAATTTTAGGAATTTGGGGATTTGGGGACTTGGAAATTAGGAATTGGGGGATTTAGGGATTGGGGAATTAGGGGATTGGGGAATTAAGGGATTAGGGAATTAGGGGATTGGGAAATTAAGGATTGGGGAATTAAGGGATTAGGGGAATTAAGGATTGGGGAATTAAGGGATTGGGGAATTAAAGGATTAAGGGAATTAAGGGATTGGGGAATTAAAGGATTGGGAAATTAAGGATTGGGGAATTAAAGGATTGGGAAATTGAGAAATTGGAGACTTAAGGGATTGGGGAATTAAAGGATTGGGAAATTAAGGGATTGGGGAATTAAGGAATTGGGGAATTAAAGGATTGGGAAATTGAGAAATTGGAGACTTAAGGGATTGGGGAATTAAGGAATTGAGGAATTAAAAGATAAGGGAATTAAGTGATTGGGAAATTGAGACATTAAAGACTTAAGGAATAGGAGAATTAAGGAGTTGAGAAATTAAGGGATTGGGAAATTGATAAACTGAGGACTTAAGGAATTGAGGAATTAAAGGATTGAGAAATTAAGAAATTGACTCAAATAAAACTAATTAAAACTAACCCAACCTATCCACTGTTTCAGGAACCAGCACAGACCTGGTGCCCCAGCTGCTGGGCATGTTCGACGAGCTAGCCCGTCGCGGCAATGGCTATACCGATCACGTAGTCCTTCCCTCGACCTGCAATATCCCAGCGGTGCTGCAGAAGCGACTGAGCCTGGTATCCCATCGTGGCTCCATATTCGGCCAGTTCTGTCCCGAGTTAGCGAAATCACAGCAGGACACGATGAACGAGCAATCGTTGCCGGAGAATAACGTGGATGTGGTCGTGGAAGAGGACGTCGTCGAGAAGGAGAACGTCTTCGAGAGTCAGAAGGAGGATCGAAACGAGAGGATAGAGGAGAAACCCTATCGACGAGAGAGCAACGGACTCACGCCACTTAGGTACGACAGACGATGCAGGAGACCGTTGTCCGGGAGTTCAGTAGCGTCTAGCACCTCCTCCAGCGGGTGCAGTAACCAGGGGAACGCTTGCACCATCAATCCTTATTTGGCGTCGGTCGAGTCCCTGGCAGACACTTGTGCCAGCTCTCAAGGTGAGGGTCTGATCAGGAGGTGTCTTTTATGGGCTTTACGGATTCTTTTGTGAGAAGACTGGTGAAAGATTAAGTTGCAAATGATTCAGAGATGCTGACATTTCATGACATGAAACTGTTGCAATAACACCTCTGGCATATTCAAGCTTGAAGTGAAAATTACATGTTTCAATATTTCTGAGATCTTTGAAATCTTCAGGTCTCAAATGAATACCACCTTTCAGAATCATGCAACTTAATAGATTGCTTTACCTAACAAGTTAATAAAACAAAGAATCAAACTTTGGATTCAAGGAAATCTGAAATTAGATGTTCAGCTCAAAAATCTGTGTACTAAAACTTCCTGTAAGAACTGCTCTTGTGAAACGAAAGCGAAACCAATAAGATATTGTTAGCTGCGGGCCTTCCAAATACCCGTTGGCTCGTGCAACCGCTTTTCAAGCTGTAATAACGATTCCGTTAACGATGAACACAGCATGCCGAGAGAGAAGTTTATTACCACCGTTGCTATCATTACTGTCATTGCCGTTGATTACGCTACAGCGAAGAGAAAGTCAGGGTCCTTGAAATTTGCTTCAAGTGATACATTGGGAAACAAATTTCTAAAATATTTCCAAGCTTCACGGTATAATTTATTTCCTTCAAAGTTCATGGAAAAGTTGAAATGTTTATCACTTAATTTATGCAGAAACATGTAAGATTGATTTAGTAGCATGTAACCTTGTATCTAAAATTATATATTTTCATTAGAGATTGATTTCCTATCTTACAAGTATGAACAAGAAAAAATGATGTTAAGGTTATGTTATGTTAATGTTTTATAATTTTATAATTCTGTAATATGTGTATGTGTATTTATGTGTATTCTGTACATGTATTTAAATAGGTTCTGGAGACAGCGGAGTGGTCACAGTGTCAGAAACCAATTGTCGAATAGGAAATGATGACACAGGGCAAAGAAGAAACAGTGCAGAGGAAGGTCCACCATGTCACAAACCACGTTACTGTGATCCTCATAGAAATCCCATGGAAAGGGTACTTCTAGAGATAGTTGACACTGAGGCAATATATGTGGAACATCTGCGACAAGTAATTCAGGTATACCTTAAGCATTGATACCGTAAGAACTGACTGCACCACTCATTACATATGAATTTTCAGTGGAGTCACTTGTGTTAATTTACCTCATTTGTTCTTGCAGGGTTACCTTATATATTGGAGAAACGATCCGGCATCGTTTGTGCATCAAATGCAGCTGAGTGACTTATTTAGTAATATTGAGGACATATTTGAATTCAATAGGTAAACTAGTTTAGTTAATTCACAGTAGCTGCATTGTCTATAATTATTTTAAATAATTTAATTCAATTTCAGAGAGTTCCTGAAGGAAATAGAAAAGTGTGGTTTGGATCCTGTTTGCGTGGCAAACACATTTATAAAGCATAACTCAGGGTTCAAAGTGTACACAGAATACTGTACCAATTACCCAAGGTAAACCAAATAAAATCAACCAAACCAAATAAAAGTTCATTTGGAACCTTAAGTACCTACCAACACATATTGTAGTCCTTCAATTTTAGCTTGAAATTAATGCAGTTCATTTTAGGACAGTTTCTGTCTTGACTGACTTAATGGGCCAAGAAGGGACTGCGAACGCGTTTCGAGAAAGACAAGCGGCACTAGGACACGCGTTACCTCTTGGTTCGTTTCTTCTTAAACCTGTTCAAAGGATTCTTAAATACCATTTACTTCTGCAGGTAAATTATAACTGTTCATCATGAATGATTTATTTTGTCTTTGTCCTATAAACCATCGTCAAATTTACAGAACTTGTCGAAGGAGTACGGCGCAGACTGCGACTTAGGAGAAAACGAGGCTGAAGGAAGAAAAGCGATCGAAGCAGCGCTTGCAGCGATGACCGGCATCGCAAGGCATATTAACGCAATGAAACGAAGACACGAGCATGCTGTGCGTGTTCAAGAGATTCAGTCGCTTCTGTACGGCTGGTCTGGTCCAGATTTAACCACGAGTGGAGAACTAGTGGCGGAAGGACGATTCAGAATGCGAGGAGCAAAGGCTCCTAGACACGCCTTCTTGTTTGACCGTATGCTCCTGCTCACCAAGAAAAAGGAGGATGGACTTCTAGTCTACAAAGCTCATATCATGGTATGTCTTTTTTCTAAATAAATAACTAGCGAATCTAGGATACATAGAGATAAAAGTTCTCATTGCACTGTTTGGTAATTTTACAGTGTTCAAATTTGATGCTTATCGAGAGCATACCTGGAGAGCCCCTTAGCTTTCACGTGATTCCGTTTGATAATCCTCGACTCCAATATACGTTGCAGGTAAAATGACTCCATTATTGATACGTACGTTGATTGTGTACACTTGTAATTAACTGCACTGTGCTTATCTATATCAGGCACGAAATCTGGAGCAAAAAAGGGAATGGACGTTGCAGATAAAAAGAGTGATGCTTGAAAATTATAACGCGGAGATACCCATGCACGCGAGGCAGTTAGTTTTACAACTTGGTCAGACACAGCCAGAAGGTACGTTGTATCATAAAAACTTTATACTTAATTAACTCAACTATAATTATCTTGAAACGATTACAGATGATGCTTTAGCGGATAGGGGGTCAGCAAAGAAACAACATTCGACACCACCAGAGTATTTAGAGAAACGTAAACAGGAAAGAGAGAGACGACGGTCTGAAACTGGACTTAGGCAAAGATTCAAAAAGAGTGGTAGAAAGTCTGAGACTACAACTGAGGTGAGTATAAATTTATGTGTTTATAATAACATCTTTTTAATTTGCTTTCTTTGATGTTTGCTTAGGACTCTCCAGCATCGCCACGAAAAAATCAGAACGATGATTCAAACCTGAACGATTCTAGAGAGCAGGGTCTTAGGTCTTCAGATGGACGCGGGTCAAAAGTCAAGGTATTGAAAATATACAATTGATTCTATTTCCGAACTCCTATATCCTTAGGCCCTCAAAGTATTTACAATTTCTATATTTATGTTTAGGATCGCTTTACTGGTTGGAGACGAAAATCAGAACCAGGTTTCCAGTCGTACGTGTGTCTCAATCAATCTGACGAGGAGCAAAAGGAAGATACGGGGGATACGGGGTCAGCTACGGTCGAAACTGAGTGCGCGATCATTGAGAACGATAAGCATACGAATTCTCCACCATCAGAAACCAAAGAGAACAATGAACAACAGGCTCAAGCACAGACGGTCGAGGAAATAGTTGGCCGCATCCTCATGCAGAACCAAGAATTCCAGAAGCTTCTCGAGAAACAGCGAACGAACAGTATACTCAACGTCAGGCAGCAACAACGTTTCAATAAACGTATCTCTGCCGACACATCCGATGACAGCGATTCTGAAAACACGATTTATAACACTGATAATTCAGTCAACAACAGAGTATCGCGTACGCGTGCGGGCCACCGCGAACGACTTGTCAAAACGAATAACACTTTGAATTCCTTATCCTCTCCCCGGGATCACCAGCCAGCCTTGCAGTTGCTTTATGATAATTTGAACAAGACTGAGAATAATAAATCAGTCGAGACTAACTCGAAAAACAAGGTAAATCATGTGCAAGAGAAGAAGGCGTTGTTCGACGCGTTCAAGAGGCAAAGTATCGTGACTGAAAGCAAGATCATCAAAACTGCGCTGAGGATAAGGGAGAACTCAGCGACTAGGAACGAAGAACCTGCGAACCAAACGTCCGTACCTGAAACTGAAGTACAGGTAGCAGGCAGCGATAAAGGACTGGTAAATGGCGAGAATATGAACGAAGTCGCTCAAGAAGGCACAGGATCCAGCAAAGGTTTTGGAAACTACGACAACTTGCAACACGTTTGGGAGGGTTTGCAGGAGGAAAAAGGCTTAGACGGGAACGACAGTCCAACTCGACCAGCGGTTTGGCTAACCAAACTCTGCGAAGGACTACCCACGTCTCCTCAAAAATGTGGCTCCCTCCCACGCAGTTTTCAAATTCATCCCAACTCCAATCAGAACGTAACGAAATCACGGTTCTTGCAGAGAGACGGTAAACCAATGAGCGAGAGACCTTTCACGATAGCTTCAGACAAACCAGCAGAGATCAACTTGGAAGACATGGAGAGATACGCTTCAACTTGCCAGCCAGAAGGAAGGATCGCCAAATTTCCTACGTCGGTATCGACTTCCACTTCAACATTCTTCTGTTCCTTGGATGACACCTTGACGGATGCGTACTCAGAAGTCCACGTGTCCTCAACAACCACCAACATACACCCAGATCACAAGATTTACAGGCCAAACACCAGTGGTAGCACGATTTTCAAGAACGTCCTTTCGAAGGCTGGGAACCGTCTTCAAGGCTTGAGGAACACCATGAGCACAGAGACCTTGGAGTGCAGCGAGGAATTAGAAAGGACCAAGTACTTCCGCTCTCTGAGTACAAGTAAGTTGAAGAAGAAGAGCAAGTTGAAGCATTCGAGGGAGTCTTCATCGGACGTGGAAGAGCTCGTAGGCTGCACAGCAAGAGGATCTTCAGACCTAAGGATCCCTTCGCTGTATTACAAGCAAGGAAGTTCGAGTCTGGGTGCTCGTATCGCTCAGTCTGATTACGCCGATCCTTCGATACTGTTCTCCGAGAGCAAACGCCAACTTGCGAATTCGTCTCAAGCAAAACAGGAGAAGAAGGAGGACGAAGAGAACGCGGAAAACAGGGAAAGCGAAACAGACAGTTTCTACGAGAAGTCATTTGAGACTATAGAAAATTACGTGGACGCAGATGTGGACGAGGCGTTCCGGGATAGTGCAATATTTAGCGACATCGAGGAGGTTCTGGTGACCAGGCCTCTCTCGGAGGATACATCGTTCAAAAGCAAAGTAGCTCCGCCAATCCCCGCCAAAAAGAGAACAGAGTCGTTGAATCCCTCAGGGTGTAACTCTTCAAAATGCAAACCAACCGTTGCTCAAAAACCTGACTATTTGAAAGTGAAGTCAGCGTTCTTGAAGGGACAAGAATCGGACTGCAAAACTCCAGCGAGATCCCCTTTGACCGAGGGAACAACGTATCAGTGTTCTACAACCATTTTGCAGAATAGTTGTGCGCAGAATAATAGTGAAGATAAGGATGATGTGTCAGCGGGACAGAGTCAAGCAGGTTGGGTGCGAAAGATAGTGGGTCAATTCCAGGGTCACGTCGAAACGTAATTCATACCAATGAAATTGTACAAATATTAAACTGGGTCTTGAAACGCATGAATTCTACGTTTGTCCGAAATCATGTTCTAAATGCCTCAACGGGGTCAAGCAGTCATTGTCCAGTTGTCCAAAGTTTTATTTTCAAATGATCTCCAAAGCAAAATCTTTGAGGTTATATTTTATTAGTACAATGGAACGGGGTAAACAGGATACATACAAAGGTTGATCTAGATCAGCGATTAGAACTGACGGGTTTTATTATCTGATCTAGGTGAAATTCAGATGCTGCACTGGAAAACATGATATGTACATAATGAAGAACTTTCCATGAAAGTAGATAACAATTTTTACATTTGATTCATTTTCATGTTTGCCATTCTTTTCATTCTACTACTAACATTAATCTTTGTACGAGATTTTAAAGAACCATGTACGCATTACGTTTCCCTTTACATTATTTTGTGCCTTGTGTAAACTATTGCCCACGCGACATATGAAGGTCTAGTATTGAAACACGCGTATGGTACAACATTGAAACAAATACTGCCAAGCGTTTTGTCATATCATGTAAACTAGCGGTAAATGGAAAGACGCTATTAGCGATTTCAATTAACGTTCATATTTAATCCGTGTCATATATAAATTTCATGTTAATAATACAGGGTAATTAGAGTCTTATCTGTGAAATATTTGCGGTCTTACATATTTGAATGAAATGTAAACATATCTGTTGTGAAAAGAAAAATGTTAAAATTGTTATGAGAGGTTAATTTTAAATCACCCTGTATTGTTGCAAAGTTTTACCAAGAAAATTTTCATATTTTAACATTGTTAGTCAAACTATGCAAATAAACGCGCATGTCGACTGAATATTCTAAGCGTCGATGTACTTGCATTAACTCGTTAGGATTGATTATTTTATGTTTTAATAATAAACATGTCCGTTCACGTAGATCAGAAGGGTCGATCTTTATTTTTTATTTATTTACAGAACCTAACGAGTTATATATTTTTGTTTAATTATATTAAACGAACGCGATATATTTAATGTTACTTAGACAATAATCACCTCATGATAGAAAATGAGTGGCTGATTTATTTGCAATTATGCTAACACAGTTTCATTGCAATAAATCAACTTAATTATTGTCAATATTCATTTTTGTAATTTCTTTCATTCGATAAAAATGTTACAAACAAATTGTTATCTGTACCTTTTACACCATGTATTATTATGAAATGTATAGAAAGGATCCAAGGGTACATCCGGAGGGTTAATATCCAAAGGTAGATCCAAATATTACTTCAGGTAGGTTTTTTATTAAGAGAAATGTCTATTTACAAGAGGTTTTCAGCTAGTCGTGTTTACAGATACAAGAGTAAATGATATACATTGTTCATAAGTTAACTACGCAATACTGTATGTATATAAAAGAAAATGAAACAAAAAATGACTAAAGGTGAGAAGCTCGTAAAACTAAAAAAAAAGGATCATTCATTATACACATTATATACAATCGTAGTAACTATATGATACACTTAATCATAGTATTATCTTGAATTAGAGTCTGCCCTCTAATCAGAAGGAATCTTCTGATTAATCATTAGTTTCGATTACGAATATTAAATATAGAGAATAAATTAAGGTTCATATCTTGTTTACTGAGTTTCTGTGACAGGTGTTGTACGACAGAAGTCTATTATACAAAACATAACGCAAAGCAACTGGTCCATTTTTGTACAAAATGTTACATACATTTTGCTCTACGCTACATTTGTTCTCAATCATAAATGATCTGCAATGACATCATCATATTTACTGCGAAACAAACAATTTGATTTATTTTTCATCGCTGTGGGTCAATATGATGATTAATTGGTCGTAGATCATTCGTATAACTACAGTTGCCTTCTGTGAACTCTATTATGCACAACAAGAAATATGTTGTTATTATTCTTTTCTTTACAACACCTAGTCAAGAAACTCTTTAAACCTACAATTCATCTTTACGACAAAGGTATGCTCTTTCAGTGGTTCCACTTGCAAGAATAGTTAAATCGTCGTTTCTATTCGCAGCTAAAGCTTTGGTTAATAACGCACTATTAACATATTGACAATCTTTATAGTTTCCCCGTTGCGATTATTCACGCTAATTTTCTTTGAACTTACATTCGCTGTCCTCCCTCGAAGAATTTTTATTAAATATATAATATATATATTTATACTTAATATATATATATCTCTCTGTTTTTCGTATCTCTTTGTCTCATTCTCTCTAAATCGCTTCATCATTTTTACAATATGATCTTGTCTCTTAAAATATTCTGTTTTTACGCACACGCGTACACTTTCATTAAAACAAAAAACATAATACATAGCTGAATAAAAACGTCGAATCGGTTGATTTTGATTTAACAATAATCAAACAGCACCTGTGGAAAATCCTGAAAGCGACTCTGTTGTTTCCAAAAGACAAACAATAATATTACCCGTTTCATTGATTAATTCTATGTAAGACAGAAAATAAAAACAACCTGATACAACAGTTTCATTATAGTCACTTTCAGGATTAAATAGAAACAAATGATAATTGAATATTATAGGAATTCATTCTTACAAGAAACAAATCTGTTCATTACTGAATTTTATTTTAAAAAGAACACCATTTCCTTCTTTTACTTTTCCATTTAAATTATTCATACCTTTATCTTTTAATAAATTTAAAACACGATAATAAACAAATTTGTCTTTTATAATTTTATGAACATAATCCTATAATTTTATCAGACAAATTTTATAGTTTTCATTTGTAAGGGCAAAGCCACTGATCTGGTCAATACGGACAGGTACATGTTATCGCTGTACTATTTGTCCTACACTATGGGAATCTACATTTTGTGTATGTGTGTGAATTAAATAAGATATTGTTATTTTTAAAATATAATATGTAAAGTTTGTAACATAAAAAATATGAAATTATTATTCTAATTTGTGTTCACTGTGTTTGATCACAATATATAATTATTGTGTGAGGCATTAAAAATATTGCTTACTTGCATTGAAATTGTCAATGTATATAAATATAAACTTTATTTATGCAATTATTACTTTAAATCTCATATACTGACAGTTCAATTCACACACTATACATATACATGAAGATACAATAAAAATTAAGTATTTTCAGCTATGCACTACATTCAACGAAACACTCTCAGAGGTATATTTAAAATTTTGTGGTCATAATTAGAGTATGGATATGTAAAATCTGCATGTAAAATGTTTCTGAGTTCCTGGTGTTTCTCTACTAAATTTTGTCTTCTAATAATTGGTCTGTGATACAGTATACATATAATTATTCTTTGTTTTCTTCTTCCCATACTTTTTTATTTCAGCTGTTGTCATTTGTAAGTATTCTTCCTTTGGATTTAGCCAATATATATTTAAATACTTTTTAAGATGTATATCCGATACCATGAATGAAATTATTGTCATTACAATAATACAAAAATTTGCCAGGTAACGTTGCACTGTAATTATTTATAACATCACTGAAAGAAGCGTTCAACTCTGCTGTATGAATGCTTTATGAAACATTATAAGTGTTTTATGTAAGAACATGTGAGAAAATCAGTAATATATCCAGGAATTAAATACTTTTAATTTAATGAAAAAAACTTGTGCAAATTATTAACTTAATTGACTTATTAACTGAAATTTATATTTAATATTGTATGAGATGGAATATTATAATTTATTAATGTGCATGATTCACAGTAAGTTATTTATGTTCACCTAAACAAATTTCTTTCCTGGCTACATTACGAATGCAAATATATCTTTATACTGCTTAAAAAGCATGTTATATAGAATTTTCATCTTTCATTGGGTCTAATAATCTTATATCACACCACTATACATTTCTTCCTAAATTATTTTCAAAATTTACAAAACATAAGTATCTTTAACTTCATTCAAAATTGAGGGAGATACTAACTATTCATTAAAATATTGTTTAACAAAAATCATGTTTTTAAAATGTTGGAAAACAGACAAAAGTTAAACAATATCAATACTAGAATTATGAAAGTAACAAGGAAAATTCAAACAGTAATACATTCATTTTCAAATGCTGTCTCAGCAAGCATTCAACATCTCCTATTAGTATATGCTTAATAGCAGATACGGGGAAGACATTGCTTTATATACTTCTTTTACAAGACACACTAATTTTCAAAAATAACATTTTAATTAAATTCTCAAACAAGCTGTCTTTGATTAAATACTTCGTATTTGATTGCTCAGGCATTGATTGTAATAGTATACTAAATTGCTGACACGAATAGATGTAAATGCATTGCAACATGGACCTATTTAATCATATTCCCTGATAAAACATCTCTCTTGTCTTTAAACCTGTTCTCTGTGTATATTATCTTAAAAAACTTACTAATATTGCAGATACTTTGAAAATTCCTATCAATTCAATATTCAAATTTACAACTACATTTAATATGTAACAAATACATGCTTGTAAATTATTAGACTTCATGCAATCAATTATCACTTTGTGCAGCTTATATGCACGTGCATAATGAATGAACAAGGTATATCCTAGACATTTTTGTGTATTAGGAATGAGTATATAAAAATGATATTGAAAATTTATGCACGAGACAAGAGTGATATTTAAAATGGTAAAGTGAACTATCTTGGACATATTTTGAACACAATGATTTCAATTTCATAATAAATTGTTAGCATAAAATATCCTTTCGCTACACAATTTTGTTGCATTTTACAATGTTATGTTCAATGATAAATCTTGCACATAAGTGGTACAAATACATGTCTTAGAGGCTTTATTTAAAATTACTTAAAAGATATTAGTGTTTTGAAGCTATTTAACTTCTAAAATTGAAAGAATAAAAGAAAAATATTTGCAAAAATGTTAAATGTTTCATATTAAAAAATTACAACTATTCAATTCAAATATTGGAATGTAAGAAAATAAACTTATGATAAAAATTGTTATTGAACACATGTAGAAGTGTATATTATACCACTTATGTTTCCACTGTAAACACACCATGTTATTAACATAATTGTTCATCATAATGCACTAATATCATAAGCGATAAGCAGTCAAATACTATTTACTATAATATATTGTTATTATAGTAAATCTTTAATAGCATAATACTTTCTTTAATAATCTACTTTCTATATACACAGCAAATTTTTTTCATATAAAATACCAAAATATTTCAACATTTCCAAGATAATTTTACTTTGTCAATCCTTCCTAGTTCAACTTACATTTCACCCCTGCTATGGTAAAGCAATCACTTTAACTTGTGAAATATCAATGTATTGATAATGGATGGAAAAGTGCTAGAACATTACTTAATTGTAAAATCTAAAAATTCTAAACTAACAAATCAAAATTTAATTTACTTTAACATAATAACTGCATTTTGAGCTTACGAATACTATCAAGCAATCTATGCTTCATTAGTATTCCTAGTCGAATTACGTTAAATTTAGATAGCATTAATTTAATCGATGCTAATGCTAAAATATATGTTCATTGTTCTAAAAGAAATATCTTTATTTTTGTCTTTTTTCATATCTTAATTATTAACTTGAAATTTCAAGTGTTTCTCTTTAGACAGAAACAGTGTTAGACCTATTTAGTAATTTTAATACTAATTTTGCTAATGTCTGATTACTGTTTTTACTTTTTTTGTTGACCTGAACTTATAATAAAAATTGCAAATAATTTTGTAGAATTATTTCTGAACAAACACAAGATTAAAAAAAAGATAAAACATTGACATATTTTATGCGGTCTTCTTAAATTTTGAAAGTGATATCTAAACTTAATTTAATATATTTCTAAACTAACGATTAAATACTAATTTATCTTTTATACTACTTTTCATAATTTTTTCTTTTTTATTGCAGAAACTGCATATTCGTTTATCTTTTTACTTATTGTAGATACAATACTGTGAAAAAAAAATTGTGAAATGAGTATTACTAAATTATATATATCACTTTTAACACAAGTAAAAAATTGAATTGCAAAACGTTCTTTTTAATTAAATAATGTAGGCTATGTTGTGTTTCTATTTTAGTTACCCAGGTAAAAGATATAAATATCACACGGTAATTATGAACCTAATTTAATAAAAGAAAAAATCTCAATTATTAAAGGAAAATTAATTTCTAAGCAAAAGTAAATATGCAATGTAATTTTTGCATAAAAAATTGTTCCTTAAATTCTATTTCATCCAGCACTCTTCCCCCTGAATACATCGTTCATGTATTTAAGAAAGTCTTTCGCAAATGAGAAATATTTCTCCCAGTCTTAAAAACCAATCACACAAAAATGCATTTAATTTCGTTATCTTTTCAGAAAATACTAATTATATAAATATTTATATTTTACTTATGGAAATAAATTTGTTTCCAAATATATAGACATATAGTTTTGAACTTTAAATTCATATAATATACCCGTTATAGGCGTAATATTCCTACAATAAGCTAAATAAATGGGTGGAATATTGTTCTGCCCTTAATTCCCTTTTTTTTAACTCCAATCACCATTCATAAACTTGATAATTACTTAGATAACTTAAAACGTCCTGAATCTCATAATTAAAACAATTTACATATTTAGTAAAAAATATCGTTTTGAATATTATAAGAATTGAATGATAACTATTAAGCTTTTCCGTACATATTTCTTAAAATAAATAATTTATGATTGCCATCATAAACTACTTTGCAATTTATACTGTATATTTATAGTACAATCGTCCAAAATTAGAGACACTGATGAACGCAATGTCTTATTAAAATAACTTTTATGCAAAAGCCCAATGCCTACCAAAGTAAAACTTATACAAAAACATACAATATATACTGCATTGAATTCACACCTTTCAATTTAATTCTACCCCTTCTTTTTCTCAGGAAAAATATATATATTTAGGACTGACATTTAATAAGTATCATTGCTTTTATATATTCGGTAACTAATTTGTATCTGAATCGTTGTCTTTGTTGCTATGTAATGTTCAAATATATTAAATCTACTTAAACTACCTTTGGCCAATATCTTATTAGAAGTGTACAAAGATAAGAAGCTTACGACGATGTAATTAATTTACGATCAGGATGTAGAGATATTTTGTGTTATCGTACAATCTAAAAACCATTCTAAAAATATAAGTGCTCGTATATCTACAAGTAAACATTGTTTATGTATAATGAGACGAATCAGAATGTATTCTAAAATGAGTTTAAAATTTATTCAATTTTTCAATCCTTTTAATCAAGCTTCACGTCTAGCTAGACACTTATTACAACGGATACCAAGAGAATATAAATTTTACGCTTGCAATTTAATATTAAACCATTCTTGAGAGAAGAATCCGATCAGTATAAGCTTTATTTTGTCAGGCATAAGGGCAAATTTACATATTTGAAATATATCATACTTCTTCTCAATAATCCCCTTTCGTGATCTTTCCTTAAATCCTCGAAGATCACTAATCCTAAATTTGTCTTCGTTAAAAAGTTATCGGTAAATAACCAGTCTATGCAGCATTGACTATATGGAGAACAGTGACGAATGATGTGTGTGTATGTATGTGTGCACTAAAGTACATCGGTAATCGATTTCATTTGAATGCACTTTAAAACAGGATAATTAACTATTCTCTTACCAACATCAACCACTGCCTCTCAGTACAGTCACATTTTTACTTTACACGCAGTCATTGGAAATCACAATTCACTTGCGACACAATATGTCTGCACAATTTATAGTTGGAAGATAAACTTAGTAACTGGCTTCGTGCCCAGCAAGTATGTACAAGTCCGCTCCTTCAGATTCGGATAGTGTGCCTGATTGAACCAAATGGCTCTCCAGCATCACAACTCTTTAGGGACAAAATATTTTCTTGTTAATTATTTTGTAAATAAATTACAAATGTTTCCAACATAACCTCAAATACATACTTATCAGATCCAAGTAATCTGTACGTTCTACTTGGATCACTGATTTCTTGCGTGACTTCGCCATTTTTAAAACTTCTACCTTGCATACCATGCTTGTGGAATGCTAGTACGCTATCTGGTAAACAGACTAAAAAGAAATTATTGCTAGTAAACTAGTCTCAACATTAGTGATATAAATAATTGATTAACTTACTGATTGATTCAATTTGAAAGTTAAAGTGTAATTCTGACATGTGCTTTCTGCTTGACCTCGGTCTTCCTTGTAACGTGACTACTTTTACTACATCTGTGAAACAGAAATAGTAAATCGTAACAAATACTAATTTAGCTGTAGATTAAATGTATAACACTTACTATCATAACACACTAATATTGCATTTTTCTCTAGTTGTGTAACATTAATAACATGAAGGTTTTCTCTTCTTGGTATCACAGTAGCTGTAAAAGTTAATCATAATTTAAATAAGATAATAAAATTTATGAAATGTATGCTATCTAGTTATAAGAACCTGAACCATCCATATCTTCCAGTTCGTCGCTGTGAAACCAACTTGCTCCTGAATTCATGTTTATTAAATCCAATTTTAATTTGTTCTGTTGATATGGTTGCTTTACGGATACACACACCATTGGATATTCCATTTCCGGCGTGATAATAATTTCGAATACATTTAATGGCGTCGGTAGTATGCAATCGAAATGTTTCAAAAGCATAAATTTATTAAGTGGATCGTACCACTGCATTAAAAATATTCCCGTTGGCATTGCACCACAGAGATATTTATACCTGTAAAATTAAAATGTTATATCCAATGTAATATAATTATTATAGTAAGATTTATTTACTTACCCATTGTATGGATTTCTACCAACGCAACATTTAGTACAGCCCTTTGTATCTGGGACTTTAGTGGTAAGAGCAAACTTCCTAGGTACTAATCTCTCAGGTATTTTGTTCATGTGCAATGAAAACCTATGGCTTTGTTTGCTTTGCATGGCTAATAAATCATGCCTATATAATTGAGGGGTTTTTCCTAAAAGTTGTTTACTCAGTTTTATATGTACAATAAAAATGTAAAAATGCAACTTCATAAAAATATTTTACCAGATAAAGACATGAGCACATCCTTAATGACGTACATCCATATTGTACGTCTTGGATACAATTGATCAATTGCAGTTTCATGAAGTTCGTTTAGGTTTAAGTTATAAATTCCTTCTTCCGCTGCAATTAGTAGATGCTGATCTCTTGTGTCTGGATGAATCCAGCTCGCAGTACAATGTATTCTCAATGGACATCCATTGAATACCTAAATAAACATCTCTCTATTAATTCTGTAAAAATGATAAAGACAGAATCAATATGAAGCACACTGACTTTTGAAAAACATGCACCCATGTGAACTTTGGGTGTGGGTGGCAGTCCATTGCTGATAGGTCTGGGTGGTGTGTGGCGCTTTCTGTCCCTTCTTCTTGGAGGAACAGGTGGAGTATCAGACAACAAATCTGGACTCATACTTTCTCTATCTCCATCGCTTGGTGTTTCATTCTGACCTAAAAAAAAAGTTCCTTTCTTCAAAAATGTTTAGCCGCAAAATTAAATTTGGAATTGTGGAATGAAGGCTATTTGTTATTTGCATTCAATCATTACAGTTATTAGGAATTGGTTTTAAAGTATTAGAGTCAAAAATAGGAGTTTAAATCAATGGTGCTCCTACCATTAGACTGTGGGGATTCATCTCTAGGACAACTGTCCGACAGAGACCGTTGACGTTGTCCATTGACAGCGGCTAAAGACTGGGTACTGCTCACCAAACCATACAACTCGTCCACAGAGCTGTGACGCCTGGGACTTGCTTGAGATCCTATGTACCGAATCTACTTTTTATACTACAGTTTCAATTCACCCAAACCGTTTAGAGTCTTTAGATTAGTTAAATCATCAAACTACTTTCATGTACCTTAACTACTTAAACAGCTCTTAACTATTACTGATTTAATTTTAGTTTTGAAAGATTAATCAACCAATTATTACAAGTGTGTAGATCACTTCTTTATGTGCTAAATTAATGTAATATAAGAATTTATTCTTACCTGACATGTTATAGTACGGACAATGCACTTCACAATCATTTGATGATTCTCCAAGAGGGAGCGTTGCTCTAGAAAAAAGAAATGTGTCAGCAAATATTAATATATAAAGTACACATAAAAAACTGGGTATTAGAACAATTAATGTATGAAAGTAAATGTTAGTAACTCATAGGTACTCTCTAGGAAATAAATTGAAAAATATTATTAATATCAATTAGCCAAGAACTGAAATAAAACAGCCTTATAAAAGAGAAGGAACAATATGTTAGAGTGCTGCACCGGAAAAATAAAATATTTAAGCAAGAAGTGTTAAAAGACTGAATACATTAATACAGTATTTACCAACAGAAGTTTTGCAGGAAGATTTCAGAATAGTATTACTCTCAAGAATAAGTTGGTTTTAAACTATTTGATTTTACATACACTGTCAATACCTTGTGTATGCAGTATCTAAAAATTGTAGGATGTAAAAAAAAAGTAGATTTTTATGTTAATTTATTATTTTATACCACCTTGGATAACTGTTAATAACTAAAACAATTGTTGTATAATTAGAATTCTTCATAAAAATTACTTAAAGCGGACTCAACACTTGTTATCAAAACAAATTATTTTAAGAGGCAGTTGTCACTTTCAAACAAAAGTAACAAAAGAATAACTGAATTGAATCTACAACCAAAAGATGAGGCAGTCTACTATTATACTTTATCATTTACTTACTGCAGGGAATATAGCTGGTCACAATGACCACCAACCATTGACATTGCATTCCCCCTGCACACATGAAACTATAATCATATACTATAAAACAATCACACATTTTTGTCATTGACCCAATTAAATTGATGATTTATATTACAAATGAATTTTCATACAAATTGTATGTACAAGGCGATTCACATGTGCTTTGGAATATTATGTGGATAATTTATTTTTCCAAGAAAAAATTATTATACTCTTGTACTTTACATTCTACTAGACATATCATTAATCACAATACATATAATTACTTGTGATTAGTGCATTAATGTAAATTCTCAGTCTAGTAAACATTAGACACTTTGCTTCCTTTTATTATTCCTGATTTTCTATCAACATCACCCTATAAGAACTTAGTTTAACATAGTTTAAACATGATTTATTAAACATCTGTAATAGAAAAATGAATTTCCACCACCAATATGGCTTGCAGTTGTTTGATTTATCTTCTAATAAATTCACATGCAATGAACAACATTAAGAAAATCAAATGTTTTGAAATTTAAGTATGAGTTATTTACATACATACCTCAAAAACTCATGCATGTTGTAAGTGTTATAAGATATACAAATAAAGAAATGTATAATAGGAAAAATGAGAGAAATAAATTTTACAAAGCTGTTTAAGTAACTTAAACGGTTTTAAATGCGATACAAAAGATAATGAGGATGGGAAGTTAGATAAATGGATTAGTATGAAGCTGCGATTGAAACTAAACAGCTTAATACAGGGTATTAGGAGATACGTATAAGTGCAAGGTGCAAGGTGCAAGGGAAAAGGGTTACCTGCCAATACCTTAGCAACAACTCCTCATCAATGTACTGCAATAGACTCCTGTTGGGAGAAATTATTAAAATTACAAACTGATCAGAGAAATTAAAGCTATGAGAATTAAAATGAATTGTGCAATTTGAATAAGGATTAGACGTAATACATATGAGAGAAAGTAACTGTTTCAAAGTACCCTGCTATTTCAGGATGTTAAGTATTATTTAAATATAAAATATCTCTTCTAAATTAAACACAGCAGAATATATGGCACATCCAAATATATGGTACATAAAAATATTTAATAAAATATTATCAATATATTCACAGTGACTCTTGTTATTTACTAGGATGTGCAATATATTGGAAAAAAATTAATTATAAGACATTGTGAGTGTCAATCGTGATAAACAAATACAAGAAGTCAAAAAGATCTTTACATGACAATCAAATGTAATAACAATACTTACATAATAGAAGCAATGAACATATAAGACCTTTCTGAACTTTCATTTTAGGCATGCAATATTTATAATACTTATACTAGTTACTATCATGCACAATTCATATCAGCACTTTAACAAAAGTATCATTTATTTGCATGATATGAATAAAGTTATTAATGTGCCTATTAAAATCAAGTGCATGCAAATAAAAAAAATCTACAAATATAATTACAAAATTAATTCATCCATACCTAAAATAATTTTTAGTCACGAGTATATGAATCTTAAAACACGCTTCAAAAGCTTGCTTGAAAAACTAGAATTGCTTATAATATATGCATTATTTTAAATAGTAAAAAAATTATTGCATCTTTGTTACAGTTTCATTAATAAACATTTGAATATTAACGTTAAATTTCCAAGTAAAGTTTAAGATTGGGTAATTATTTTCACACCAAATCATTTGTCTTATACGAATTACCTTAAACTCATATGAAATATTTCTGTGCCTGTTTTGCTTCGACGTGATTCTCTACTATCTGTTGTAACGTTAGCGCCGAGAGGACTAATACAAAAATAAACTATATCATGTCTTTGAAAAAACAATATTGAAAGACACATGAACTGTATTAAATTTAAATTAGCATCACACTTGAAGTATTTAACTTATACTATCATGTCATACCATTAATATACTTCATTTTTTGTGTAAAAATGCCATTCGCTATTGTATCATTGTTAATTAGAACAATATTTACAAAGCAGAAGCAGACGTGCCATATGCAGCTTAATAAATGTAAGAAAAAATTACTGTTCTGTTTTATACTTTGCATAATTGTACATATTCATTGCATTAAATGTACATATAACAAAACAGTAATTACCATATTAGTGGAAGGATCTTAAAGCCACCCCCACATTGTGTATATTCATTGCATATCGCATTATAAAATAAATAATTTTATTTTAAATGTACTTACTTTTCCTGTACATCTTCAAATGCAGTACCAATACCACAATCTGGATGAACATCACAATTATGAACGCCCTAAATTTTATGTAAAAACAATATTGATTATTTTTTAAAACATAAGTTTACAGAAAATATTATTTAAAAAATATAAATCACCTTTACATTATTCATGATATCCATAATATCCCAAGCTGGGTTAGTATCTACTGATGGTGATATTATGTCTCTTTGTAATGTCCCATCAATATTAATCTGATCTGAAATCAATTAAAATTTATATCCAATCTTCGAAGGCTACCATAGTTGATATTTCATTCTAAACAAACACATCATTTACCATCACTATCTAATTGCGGTATAGGACTTTTTGGTCTAGGTCTTGCAGTATGACGTGAGGCTATCCTTTGTGGTACATTGGGTACAGCTCCATCTTCATCGGCTTCTAAATCAGTAAACATATGACTAGGGTTTGATACCTTTTGCAACAACTCCAAGGCTAAACGTTTGCTCATTTCTCCTTGAAAAAATGCGTGCTGAAATGAAAGTTTTTATTGGAACTTTCACAGTTGTTTTAATTCACTGTATCCAGTACGAAAATGAATGGTAAAAACCTGCAGTAATTTTTCGGCTGTTGGTCGTTTTTTAGGATTTTTGGTGAGAGCAACTTTAACAAAATTATGAAACGTTGGGCTCCATTTATCGCGATCTTTTAACGTTGGCGGTTTGAAGCCAGATTTAGACATAAGAAAAAGTGCACGCATTGGATGTAAATCAAACATAGGTGGTTGTAATTCAGCTAACTCTATTGCAGTGATCCCACATGCCCAAATATCACAAAGTTGATTGTAACCGCCCTTTCTTTCTACAGCTGCAACCTACAAACGAAACACTAATTTTTTATCCGTCTTATCAAGTATAATTTTAAATATACATTGACACCCCAGAAATTCAAGATACCTCAGGTGCCATCCAGTAAGGAGTACCAATAAAACTCTTTCTTTTATTAATAGTTGCAGTAATTTGCGCAGACACTCCAAAATCAGCCAATTTGACATCACCAGCTTCAGTTAATAATATATTGGCACCTTTAATATCACGATGCATTTTTCCCATGCTATGTAAATAAGCCAATCCTAGAAGAGTCTCTCTACACATATATGCTATTTGTATCTCTGTTAATGGTCCAGTTACTGTAACACAATTAATATTTTAAAATCACAAATATCTTCAAAAAAAGCCAACTCCTTTACCGAATATAAATTACTAGAAAAATGTTACGCATGAGTTAGAAAGTGAAACGTACTGTGATATATATCTTGCAAGGAACCACCTCCACAATATTCCATACATATCCATAATTTATCCCTTCTTAAATAACTTCCATAATACGCAATTATGTTAGGATGTCTACAATCTTTCATCATTAAAATTTCCTGCTGAATAATTGCAAAATCATCTCCTAAAACATTTCAAATAAAAAAACAAATGAAACATTGCAAACAATACATGATCACAGTTTAGAAAGCTATAATTAATATTAAAAGTTAAAGGTTTGAATCATTTGAATATTAAAATCGTTCCATCGGTGTCAAGAATACTTGTACCAATTACATTCTTGCAAAATCGTGTACTACTGAAAAATCATATGTTCATAAAGATAAGCAAGAAATTGTAATTGCTCACCTGGTTCCAACTTGATAACCTTAATCGCAGCGAGGTCATTCATGGAAAGTCTTTTGGCCTGCGAAAATAAATTGAGCAGCATATAGACCCAATGCGAACGACAACAGAAAGGCAAAAATGACGAATACAAACCTTGTAAACATCTCCGTACGTTCCACTACCTATTCTTTGAATGAGCTCGTACTCATCCTGAGGGTTTCTTCGGCTTATGTCACTGGATAGTGCATTAGCGTTCAAAGCCATCATAAAACACAGATTCTCGTCGATCTAACACCTAACAAGTGTAATTAATATCTACAAAAGAAGATTAACGTTAAAGTGTAAAAACACATTTGTTCGTTAGAATGTCACTTTCCTCGAAACGTCGCCATTGTTCACAACAGCTCTGAGGTTAGTCACGACAGGGTAAGCGGTACTGCGATATATCGATCAATCGATTACCCTCTTGCAATGAAATACAGAGAGGACCTATAAAAGGAATAAAGTTGAAGCACAGAAGTGGTTATCGACTGGGAGAAACGTTGTAGTACTGTAGTGGTGAAATGCTAAGTTATTAGGAGAAATATGCACTCGGTATTTTAATGACTTAGTATTTTAAGTTAGGAGAGTTTATGATAGGAGAGATAGAATGATATACGCACTATATTATGAACTGTGTGTTATTGGCAACTTTTATTTGGTAACTTATCGGTAAATTTACATAATATTGCGATTGATATGTTATCGACACTGCGGTCGGTAAGTTAACAGCGGGGCAACTGTCGGTAAGTTATCTACGCGCTTCGGTCGGTAAGTTATCATCGTGTCAACTGACGATAATATACCTGCATATTGCGGTCGGTAAGTGACAGCGTGTCAATAGTTTACCTACACATTTCGGTCGGTAATTTTTCATATCTTATGTTACCGACGAGTTACATTATAGTTTGCGAACTGTTTTAAATACATAATTCACATCTTCGGACCCAATATTATTAAATATGTAATAAATTTAGAGCACATTAATGAATAAAATTAATATTAATTGAATTTTTTTCTTTTTTAAGGGAACTAATGGCGCCATCTAGCGGCAGTACGTTGAAACTAACGAAGCAGCAGTTCCAAAACCTTGTAGTTCACCCCGTTCGCAGGAGAGATGGCGCCACATGTTCATTTATAAAAATTCAATTAAAATTCATTTTATTTATTTAATTTATTATAATTTAATTTATTATAACATTAAAATTAGTATAAGCACCTTTATAAAATATTTAGTTTATAAGATTACTATATATTATAACATAATATTGTATTATAACTATACACACACACACACACACACACACACATATTGTATGTCATGAATTGTATATGTATTTTGAGAAGTTTGAATAAATATCAAGTAAAAGATAGAAATGATGTATTTATTTAAGAACCCACAAACTATCCTAGAATTCCTATTACGCTTCCATAAAAAGTATAAAAAAAGCACTGTGTCGAAATTCAAAAGTGAAACTTTATGCCACCTCCTCACATGTTATGTTCTCCTGATACAAAATATCAAAAATGAAAAAAGAAAAAAAGATTCGAAATACTATTGTGCCACCTCCTCGTTCGTTATGCTCTCCTGATACCAAATTTCAAAACTGGGAAAAAATAAAATTCGAGAGACCTTTGTGCCACTGCCACCTCTTTCTAACTCATGTTCTCCTGATACCAAATTTCAAAACCTGGTAAGGCTGCTGGAAAAATTTTTGTGCCACCTCCTTGTTCATTATGTTCTCCTGATACCAAATTTCAAAACCTGGTAATGGCACTGCAAAAATTTTTGTGCCACCTCCTGGCAAGTTATATTCTCCTGATACCAAATTTCAAAACCTGGTAATGGCATTGGAAAAAATTTTGTGCCACCTCCTGCCAAGTTATGTTCTCCTGATACCAAATTTCAAAACCTGGTAATGGCACTGGAAAAATTTTTGTGCCACCTCCTAGCAAGTTATATTCTCCTGATACCAAATTTCAAAACCTGGTAACGCTGCTGTAAAAATTTTTGTGCCACCTCCTCGTTAGTTATGTTCTCCTGATACCAAATTTCAAAACCTGGTAATGGCACTGGAAAAATTTTTGTGCCACCTCCTAGCAAGTTATATTCTCCTGATACCAAATTTCAAAACCTGGTAACGCTGCTGTAAAAATTTTTGTGCCACCTCCTCGTTAGTTATGTTCTCCTGATACCAAATTTCAAAACCTGGTAATGGCATTGGAAAAAATTTTGTGCCACCTCCTTACAAGTTATGTCCTCCTGATACAAAATTTCAAAACCTGGTAACGCTGCTGGAAAAAATTTTGTGCCACCTCCTAGCAAGTTATGTTCTCCTGATACCAAATTTCAAAACTGGGAAAAAATAAAATTCGAGATTTTGTGCCACCTCCTAGCAAGTTATATTCTCCTGATACCAAATTTCAAAACCTGGTAAGGCTGCTGGAAAAATTTTTGTGCCACCTCCTGGCAAGTTATGTTCTCCTGATACCAAATTTCAAAACTGGGAAAAAATAAAATTCGAGAGACCTTTGTGCCACCTCCTTGCAACTTATGTTCTCCTGATACCGATTTTCAAAACTTAGTGACGTCACACGAGAGATTTTTGTGCCACCTCCTCGCTAATTATGTTCTCCTGATACCGAAATTCAAAATCGAAAAATGTGATTGAATTTTGACTCATTCAAAACTGCCTCTTGGAAATTTATTACTAATCTTGCTGTTACTAATTTTTCTATATGACGTCATATGGGAGTGGGACTGGTCTATGGTTTTTTATAAATAAATACGCAGTTGATTTTCGTTTTCTTTTCTTTATTATTTTCCTTTGTCATACATCGAGTAACTTAACTTAACTTATAGCTACATTACTTAATTTATAATATAAAACGCAACTTACATTAGTTTCGCTATTAATGCTATCTTACAAACAATATAAAACGCAATTTACATTAGTTTCGCTATTAATGCTATCTTACAAACAATATAAAACGCAATTTACATTAGTTTCGCTATTAATGCTATCTTACAAACAATATAAAACGCAATTTACATTAGTTTCGCTATTAATGCTATCTTACAAACAATATAAAACGCAATTTACATTAGTTTCGCTATTAATGCTATCTTACAAACAATATAAAACGCAATTTACATTAGTTTCGCTATTAATGCTATCTTACAAACAATATAAAACGCAATTTACATTAGTTTCGCTATTAATGCTATCTTACAAACAATATAAAACGCAATTTACATTAGTTTCGCTATTAATGCTATCTTACAAACAATATAAAACGCAATTTACATTAGTTTCGCTATTAATGCTATCATACAAACAATATTTTGTAAGTTATGTTCAACTCTAAAACCTGGTAATGGCATTGGAAAAATTTTGTGCCACCTCCTGCCAAGTTATATTCTCCTGATACCAAATTTCAAAACCTGGTAATGGCACTGGAAAAATTTTTGTGCCACCTCCTGGCAAGTTATATTCTCCTGATACCAAATTTCAAAACTGGGAAAAAATAAAATTCGAGAGACCTTTGTGCCACCTCCTTGCAACTTATGTTCTCCTGATACCGATTTTCAAAACTTAGTGACGTCACACGAGAGATTTTTGTGCCACCTCCTCGCTAATTATGTTCTCCTGATACCGAAATTCAAAATCGAAAAATGTGATTGAATTTTGACTCATTCAAAACTGCCTCTTGGAAATTTATTACTAATCTTGCTGTTACTAATTTTTCTATATGACGTCATATGGGAGTGGGACTGGTCTATGGTTTTTTATAAATAAATACGCAGTTGATTTTCGTTTTCTTTTCTTTATTATTTTCCTTTGTCATACATCGAGTAACTTAACTTAACTTATAGCTACATTACTTAATTTATAATATAAAACGCAACTTACATTAGTTTCGCTATTAATGCTATCTTACAAACAATATAAAACGCAATTTACATTAGTTTCGCTATTAATGCTATCATACAAACAATATTTTGTAAGTTATGTTCAACTCAAGCTTAAATATAATTAACAATAAATTAATACATTAATATATAAATGTACAATTTATAAATTGGCGCTTATTTATGAACAGCATTGTAACTTTTGTATGCTTAGATTGAAGTTACAATGCTGTTCTTACAATAATTTATAAATTAGCACTTATTTATGAACAGCATTGTAACTTTTGTATGCTTAGATTGAAGTTACAATGCTGTTCTTACAACAATTTATAAATTGGCGCTTATTTATGAACAGCATTGTAACTTCTGTATGCTTAAATTGAAGTTATAATGCTGTTCTTACAACAATTTATAAATTGGCACTTATTTATGAACAGCATTGTAACTTTTGTATGCTTAGATTGAAGTTACAATGCTGTTCTTACAACAATTAATAAATTGGCGCTTATTTATGAACAGCATTGTAACCTCTGTATGCTTAGATTGAAGTTACAATGCTATTCTTACAATGTGTCTATGTAACAATAATATATAAACGATTAACAAACATACAACATATCAGAAATTATTAACACAGTCAATATCACACAATCTCAACTTTCATACAATTTCATACAACTTCTCCATCTTCAGTGTGTTCCATTTTCTTTTTGACTACTTTCTGATCACTTTTCCATCTTCCTTTTGACCCCTTTCTGATCCCTTTTCCATCTTCCTTTGCACTTGTCATCCACACCTGTAACACAGAAAATTAACATTAAAACAAATACATTAAAACCCAAAATGAAAGTCACACTTCCAAGTAAATATCTATCGTGATTTCATACCGTTGCTATGCCGATAAAATGAAGAACAAAGTGAATCTATTATCGGTCATTAGCGCAGTCGTTAACTCGTAGTTTAACGGTGAAGCGATTCATCGCTACTTAAGAATACCTTTCCTTTTCATTAAAACATCAATTTATCAACGACGTGAGTCAGTGCTACCTCTTAGCTCCGTTATTACGTACAAATTACACTGTAAGTGAAAATTCCGCTGGCTAATGCCGTCGTTTAAATCACTGCACTACAAAATGGCGACTGGAACCTGAGAAAATCAAAAGTAAATTTAGGTAAGTGTAGGTAAATAGATGAAATTAGGCAAATGTAGGTAAATAGCAAAATTAAATAAATGTTCCTATATTTATGTGATATATGATAACATGCATTGAAACTTTACTTTTTAAGATTTAAGTTTTATATTTCTTAGGTTTAAGTTTCAAGGTTCTCAATTTTTAGAGTTCAAGTTTGAAGTTTCTTATCTTTTTGGGTTTAAGTTTCAACTCTCTTATTTTTTAAGTTTTCATGATTTGTTTTTTAAGTTCAAGTTTCAAGTTTATTACTTTTTTAGATTTGAGTGATTTGTTTTTTAAGTTCAAGTTTTAAATTTCTTACTTCTTTACGTTTGAGTGACTTGTTTTTTAACTTTAAGTTTCAAGTTACCTATTTTTTACGTTAGACTGCCTTACTTTTTCGAGTTTAACTTACTTATTCCTTTCTACAAGAAAAGTCAATAGCCCATGAAGTCAGAAGTGTGCCAAATGTAACATAAGATATTAATTCCACAGTTAAAAATTACAGGTTATATTATTACAGCTTTTCCATTAAGATTGGTGAGGGTGAAGTTGGAAAGCAGTATGCAGATGGCTGTAATAAATTGTCATTGCGTGTCGTTTTCTTTATCGGGAGCATCTGCTAGTAGTTCAACGTGTTCGAACGTACAGTGTCGTATTTTTGTGGAGGGTGACCTTCCATATGACAAATATAATACTTTTCATATGAAGAATTTTTTTTGTTGGGTTGTTCAGAAATTTTTAATTTGGAGAGTTAGGAATTGGGGAGTTGGAGAATTGGACAATGTGGGAATTGGAGAATTTTGCAATTGGACAATGTGGGAAGCAGACAATTTTGGAATTGGAGAATTTTGGAATCGGAAAATTTGGGAATCGGACAATGTGGGAATCGGACAATTTGAGAATTGGACAACGTGGGAATTGGAGAATTTTGGAATCGGACAATGTGGGAATTGGACAACGTGGGAATCGGACAATTTGGGAATCGGACAATGTGGGAATCGGACAACGTGGGAATCGGACAATGTGGGAATTGGACAACGTGGGAATCGGACAATGTGGGAATCGGACAATGTAGGAATCGGACAATGTGGGAATTGGACAACGTGGGAATCGGACAATTTTGGAATTGGAGAATTAGGGTATCGAATAATTTGGGAATCGGACAATTTGGGAATCGAACAATGTGGGAATCGGACAATGTGGGCATTGGACAACGTGGGAATCGGACAATTTGGGAATTAGGAAATTTAGCAATTGAAAAACTGTGGAATTAGGTAATTCAGCATTTGGAGAATTCAAGAACTCAATACTCTAAACCTCAAAAAATTCAGAAATAGTACAATTCCCAACTTAAACAATTTACAAACCAAACAACTGAAAACCAAAAATTAAAGCAATTAAAATTGAACCTCTCACAAAGCAAAATCCTTGGAAATTTCCAATATCCAGAAACATTCCACCCTCCACAAAAATCACATCTACCTAACCCCTCCCCAAACATAACTCCGCACATGTCCCTACAGTGTAGAGCCTACACTGTCTGCTTTCTCTCTAAGCAAGTAGGGGTCGAGGGTGCGACGGTGGTTCTCTGCCGCTAACCGCGAAATGGAGAATATATGGAACAAATGGGCGGCTAAGCTCGCCGTAGCATGGCATAATGATAACACGCTCGAATAATAAGGATAGCAGCAGAGGAGACAGGGTTGGATACGCACGCGTGGGTCCGCGTTTGGGGCCCGTCTTCCGCTTCCACTTCGGTGAACGTTCTGGCTTTAACTCCGGCTCAGTTCCACTATGTACTTCTAGCATTGTGCTCCGACGTCCTAGATAACTTCGTTTTATCTCTATCTGTTTTCTTTCCTCGTTTCTCTCTTCCTCTTCGTAATCAATTTGTTTCGTTTCGATCAAACAAAACTGCTTCGTACCCGGTTCGAGACGAAGTACGGAATTTGAACGACGTTGCGAAGTGTTTCCGGTTTGTTAGGGGAGCGGAGTTTAAATTACGAGAGAAAATATTGCACGAAATGTAACTATTTATTTGTCAAGTCAGAACTAAACGATATTAAAACAGACAAAGAAAAAAGGCATGTCGATTTGGTATTAATTTTGGAGTGCGTCAAGGGTGCGTCACGACTGCGTCATAAGACTCGTCACAATAGCAAGAGTGCGTCACAGGTGCGTCATGAGATTCGTCAAAATAGGGTGCGTCACGGGTGTGTCATGAGTACATAAAAAAATTCGTCAAAGTAGTAAGAGTGCGTCACGGGTGCGTCACATGTATATGAAGAAACTCGTCAAAATAGTAAGCGTGCGTCACAAGACTTCAAAATAATAAGAGTGCGTCGCAGATGCGTCAAGAGACTCGTCAAAATATTAAGAGTGCGTCACGAGTGCGTCATAAGACTTCAAAATAGTAAGAGTGCGTCAAAGGTGCGTCAAGAGACTCGTCAAAATAGTAAGAGTGCGTCAAGGGTGCGTCATAAGACTTGTCAAAATATTAAAAGTGCGTCATAAGTGCGTCAAGGTATTCGTCAAAATATTAAGAGTGCGTCGAGGGTGCGTCATAAGACTTGTCAAAATAATAAGAGTGCGTCAAGAGCCTCCTCAAAATAATAAGAGTGCGTCGAGGGTGCGTCACGACACTCGTAAAAATACAAAGAGTTAAATTACACTAGAACATGAAATTATGTCAAGACTTTATTACAAATAATAATGAAAGTGCTCTGCGTGATATAAGATAGTTTAAACGCGATCTATTCAGTAGTCGTTCATAAAATTTTGAAAAAGTTCGTGGGGGATGAGAACGCGTTTCGATGAATCACCGATGGCGGCGCCACGAGAGTTCCTCGTTCGCGGAGTTTCTTTCGAATTTCACAACAGCTCATTCCGTGTTATGTTCTTCGACAGCAAGATCGATGCTTGCTTCGAACGATGCCTGTGAATAACTATAAACTTTGTGTCTACTTTTATAATAAAGTACATTCACTTGTTTGAACTTGACGTAATTTTAGAGGCGTAGTTTTGAACTGGACGTAATTTTGTGAAAATGTTTCGCAAGTTTTATTTGATGGAAGTGTTTGTAGTGGAAAGGTTTTAGAACAAAAGAATTTTTGTTGAATTGGTGTAGAATCTGTGTAGTTAATAATATATGAAATAATATTAATGAGTTTTGAAAATTTATTTTGGCGCCAAATATTCGTATTTACCGCCAGACTTGAAGATCGACTTAATCGTACGCATAAATTGAATGAATTTAATGACGTATGATATACTAAATAACTTTAAACTTGATGTTCAATAAGTTTTACAAAAAACTTTTATTACAAACTGAGTTCCACTTGTGATTAAACTGTGAGACAATTATAGAACCCTTAAACTTAAATAATCCTCTAATAATAAAATATATGTTTAATAAAATTTGCTTAAATAAAATAGTCGTACAGCAGTGAAATGCTAAAACAATGAACTGAACAACCATAATAAATCAAAGTATACATCGATCTAAAATCGATTACATCGAACCAGTGTCAACTAAGTGATCCCCTGCACTGAAATTCCCGCCAAATTTGGACGTTCGAAAAGACCCAAACCAAAACTATTATAATAGAAATTTAATAAAGATATTTATAAACAGATTGACTTAAAAATAAAAATATTTCAAAATGAAGTTCAACTTTCAATGGACAGTGATACTAGCGATAATTGTTGAAATAACCTGCGAACAAAGATTCGCGGAAACTCCTGAGTTGTATCAGGAAGTGTCCTCGGGCGACGACGCGCAACTGCGCTGCAGAGTGCAAGACAAACGAGGTCAATGCATTTGGCAAAAGGATCGGAAACCAGTGGGCATGCATCCGGATAAATACGAATGGGCAAGTGGACGGGGCAGTGATTGCACCCTTCTTATTCGGAGAGCGTCTCTCGATTTCGACGATGGATACTGGGAATGTCAAGTTACCTCGGGTGATTTTACGAGACAGGATGCTTTGACCTCTTTGCCGTCGAGATTACTTGTCAGAGGTAATTCAGAGGAAATTTTATAGGAGATATTAATTTATTTATATGAAATATTACTATTTGTAGGAGAAATATAAACCACGTGGTATCGATTGTGTTGACTCTCGAGAATGGTGAAGATAGGTGAAGTCCTGCTAGCAGGTTTCCCGCCAAAATTTGAAATTTCTAATTTCCCATATTTGAAATTTTCAAGCTCCTACATTTAAAACTTCTAAATTCCCATATTTAAAATATCTAAATCTCCTCATTCAAAATACCTAAGTTCATACATATAAAATTTCTAAGTTTCTAAATTAAAAAATATTCAAACTTGAAATTACAAAGTGATTCATAGAAGGGAGCCACACAAAATTGCATTGTACTAGGAAACATCCTCAAAGGGTACAGTACTGATTTTTCTTTAAACAAAAGTACTGTTCTAATACATATTCTGTTTCCCCTAATTGGTACATAAAATGATAGCTGCATTACCATCTGTTTGATTTGATAATTAAAATAAATCCAGATCTCTAGGTAACTCGAGCAGCAATTTAGTATGTACATGGAAAATATATGATAATGCTAATTGCCTCCAGCAGCGTGGAAAAGGGGAATTTGAAATAGGTACAAAAATTGCTGCTTTGCAATTCAATTTGATTTAAGATACTTTATGTTCTAAGAATAGAAACAAGAAGAATACCTAATAGAGATGTTATAACAATAAAGTTTAACAAAGTTTGACTTTGAATTTATTTTTGCACCGAGAGCATATATCAATAGTTTTATCTAAGAAGGGTTCTAAGAATAAAAACAAGAATGTATCTAATGTACCAAGAAATATCTGGTTCACAGGATGACTAAACTTGGACCAGACTTTTTTTTCTACCACTTAAGTCAGATTTCGTATAGCATCTGTGATCTCAATGACTCACCCTGAAAGACCAGACTACCTGACTCTTGTAACAGTAACCTATCTCACCACTTTACGTTCTTTTAAAAAAATGTTAACACTAATGCGCTCGTTATCTGAAGAATATCTGGATTCGATACACCACTGATCCCATTACGTACAATTATTCCGTTAATGCCCGTGAAGCTACGGACTCGAACGCGTGAAACATCGGCGTAATTCTCGATTAAGGAATCGAGCTTGCGCAACCTTTATAATGCAACGCGAAACATTAAAGCGTTAAATAGCGCACTTAGATTTTAACGGAACGTTGACTTCTCGCGGATCCACGCCGAATCTTGCAGGGATAATCAGATCCTGTCTTCTCAACGGAACAATGCAGATTTAGCTGGCCCGCGTTCAAATTCGCTAAACGTGGGCGTGACGTGATGCAACTTGTTCCGTTCCACTTTTCCTCTTGCTGCACGATTTTTGCAATGCTGGAAAATTTTTTTGTAACCCTTGAATCATCCTTAAGTGAGGAGCATTTAAAATTATAGCACTGGTCGTCGAATTGGGAGCTACGAAAATTTCACTTTTATTACATCTGTCATGTGTCTTGCAAAATTATTAGTAAATACACTGATGATGGATAATGTTCAGGTTTAATATAAATGAAATAAAATGTGAATACATAACCATACTTAGATATAATAATAGATAGCATAATAAGCACAAACTGAATAAATACAAGTTGAATAATATAAAGGAAAAACTGTCTTTGGTACAGATGCACATCTTCACTGTCTAAGCGTCACGACGGAAGTGCAAACATTAGAGTAGGCAAAATCGACTCGCGCAAGACTTAAGAAACTAAAAAACCCTATACTCTTCTGCTGCCAATCTAATTTCTAAAAATAGAGGGAACCTCTTCAAATAATTTATGAACCGTTTATTTTAAAAGTAGTGTAAGTCTATTTGCATAAATATACGTTATTTTAGTTAAATTACCTAAAACAAATTTGTATAATAAAATTATATATTGATCAATTAGTAAAAAATTGCTGAATTACCTATGATTAACTGATATAACTAAATTAGTTTGATTAACCTATATTTTTTGACATATATGTTAACCTTTAATTTTTTCAAAATAAGTGAAAATGGATTTGCACAACTTTTAAAATAAATGAAGCATATTATAATTGATAGGTTCTGTAATTTTTAAATGAGTTAAATGTCCTGTTGATTGCAGTGAAACCCCGGAAGCCACGGTTGGAGTACGGGGGAACCATTTTGAGCAATGCGCTGACTCTAAGGGAGGGTCAGGAAGTTACCATTTCCTGCGTGTCCAGATATGGAAATCCGGCGGCCCTTATAAAGTGGTGAGTTAATGGAAGGGGTAAAACTAACCTTCCCCTACAAAAATTCCATTTCAAGCGATCTGATTTAACCTCTAATATGATTTTCTTAGCGAGTGCGTCAGGACTTAACCCCTTCCCATGCAATTTATTTATCAGATGCATCAGTCAAGACTATAGAGGACTATAACACTAAAATGGACAGAGAAATAGAAAATGTTCTGAGTATTTTATATAAAGGAATCCTTGATAATGCAACTTGGACCTAAATTTCAAGTTGAGTACCCAAAGGATTTGCGTATTAAAAACAATATAATTTCGAAATTCCAGTAGGTTACAGAACCTCGTTTCTTTCACTGCGATTTCACGGTACTAAAATCGACGCGTTAAATTAAACGTAAAATTTCAAGCACATTTTGTTCTCGCGCAGTAAAACCTTTGTGCAACGGTACTACTCTCCTATTATAGTTTTTATAACAACTTTCATTCGAAGGAATGCTGGCTGACATTATTACCCGTGGAACGTTTCAATAAAGAACAGAAAACCTTTGTAAATCATCTTATTGTTAAATTGTTGCTTACGCGTGCTTTTGTGCTTGCAGATTGTAATGTAAACGTAAGAACAGAGGTTCGCGGAGAAGCAAGAAAACCATAAACACGGTGTTTATGCGGCAGAAAGCTTTGCTGGCCGACTCTTTTTCTTGTCATGGTCTACTGATCGTGCTAGCCACACCTCATCTAAATTCTTATAACATAAAACTCTCTGTTCTGATCATCACCTTCGCATGAGCGGCGTTACGATTTCCATGAGCCGGTTTGCCATGAACCAGTGTTTTCCACCGTGTGAACATGAACTTCGCATTGGGAGTGCGCTTTCAAGAAAATTCGATTTTAACATTTAGGAGGTTTTTTACAATTTTATTATGTTAAGTGGAACTTAGAGTTCTTGAAGTCTCAAGGATATGTAAATTTTTAAGGACACGAATTTGGAAAATTATGAATTTTGAAGAGATGTTAAATTTTTAAGGTTAGCAATTTCTTAGTTCTCAAATTTTTAAGGTTAGCAATTTCTTAGTTCTCAAATTTTTAAGATTCAATTTCCAAATTATAGAATTTCTGAGATCTCCAATTTTCACCTTTTTAAATTTGTAATATTAGCAATTTCAAAGATCTCCAATTTCCACTCTCTCAAATTTCTAAAATCCCCAATTCCCTATGTCCCCAATTTCCACCCTCTGAAATTTCTAAAATCCCCAACTCCCACATCCCAAATTCCTACAACCCCAATTTCCACCCTCTGAAATTTCCAAAATCCCCAACTCTCACATCTCAAATTCCTACAACCCCCAACTTGCAACCCCTAAAATTCCAAATATTAAAAATTCCAAAATTCCCAAAAAGTCCACACTAAAATTGTCTCCTTCTCTTTCACAGTTTCCCTCCAAAAGTCTCATCATCACAGTGACACGAACGCCCGCAAAGAAGCGATCTCCCTCAGGCGTCCAACCTCACCTCACGCACCCGAACAATTTTTTTCGCGGAAACGAATCGAATATGGAGCAAAAGAAAACGGTTCCTAATTTCATACTCCGTAGTACGTTTGCTGAAATTATACCGGCTATTGTAACGGAGCTAAGCTGCACTGGCTCTCTTTACTGCCTTTAATAGGCACGCTGTCTAAATAGTTCTGCCACATTTTTCCCTGCGGGCTGCACCGAAGATGCAGTGAGCGTAATTATGCAGACTGCAGTCGTGGAAGCTGGCCACGAACATAGTCTCCTCGTGAATCATTCTAGAAAGGTTATAAACCTTGGGTATCGGTATCTGTGGGAAATTCTGAATACTTTTTCCGGGGATTGTGGGTTAGGTTTAGCGAGACAATGAGACAAATTGCGGTGAACATTAAGTTGTAATGTTACTTGCAATTATTTATGGTTTTTTGCTACTTGCAAGAAATATTATTTTTGTATTTTGTAATGGTAGTTGGTAGTGACGTTTATTATGTATTGTTAATATATTTGCTTTTAGATATTGTATTGTGGAGAATTATATTTTTGTATTAAATTTTTGTACTTCAGTGTTGAGTGTGGCTTATCATATATTTCTCTTGGAGCTCATAAATAGACTCAATAAATATTTTTTCATTTCTCTTACAATTTACAGATAGTTCTCTTGGAACTCATGAACAGTTTGGTTTAATATTTTTTCATTTCTCTTACAATTTACAGATAATTCTCTTGGAACTCATAAACAGTCTAGCTTAATATTTTTTCATGAATTTATTACTTAAAATAAATTAAAAATATATTTGTCTCATACTCCATACTGTTGTGATACATTTTCTCAAGAACTGCTATATTAATACATTTTATAAATTCCAGAGCTGATAGGAAAAAAATATTAAGAAGTATAAAGAGTTAAAAAGTGTTTGAATTATTATTTATGTTGTTTGCAACAATTTAATGAATTGTTATTTGCACAGGTACATAGGAGGAAACGAAGTGGAGCCCTTGAGGGAGCAAACGAACGCGACGGAAGTAGACAGCCCTAAAACCTGGGCGGCCCACAGTCTCCTCCGAGTCCGTGGACAAAGAGAGAACCATGGTCTACCGATTCGATGTATCACGATCCATCCGTCCAGCGTCGTTCCAGCTTCTGCGGAAACACGACTGGATGTGCATTGTATGTATATTTTGCATACTTTTGTGTCTGTTCGGAACGCTACAATTCACGTTCGATTCCGATAGGAAAACTGATTGTGATCTTACTGTTAAAATAGACATCTGCTGACAGCACTCAAATGGTATCAAAATGAAAATCTGATAATAAGTGGAAGGAGTAAAAAATCAGTTACTTCAATAGCTAAATTTAATTAGGTCTTCAGATTGATGGTTGCCTATATTTAAATTTGAATTAAAATAAAAAAATAAATAAATTTGATACGTAAACTGCCTAAGACAAAAGTTGCCATTCTTCCAAAAATTTCCTAACAAGTTTAAAAAAATAAGACAATAAGTCTTAAGAGATCCGCCATTTTAAATCTAGTGGACCTTGAGACTTCTTCCCAAAAGTATTCGAAGCTCGCAAGGACCTAATGGATTCCCCTAATGGGTTCCTAGATACTTTGATCGTCCATCAAAAAACGATTCATCACGAATTAAGATCCTTTCGGTTATGATAGCATGACGAATTTCAGATTCGCCTGAGGTGAGGCTGGAGACGAAGCCGCGTCTGCTGGTGGCGGCTCTGGAGGATTCGGCGAGTTTTATGAGCCTGAAATGCTTCGCGGACAGCAATCCCAGCGGAACGATCAAGTGGTTCAAGGATTCAGCTCCCATCACTGTAACGAGCAACGTGGTATCGTTGATGTTAAACAGAACGCAGCAGAACAGCACGTCGGCGGGCTCCGAGCTGAGATTCGAGCCGGTCAAGAGAAACGACGCCGGTCTCTATTCTTGCAAGGCGGTCAACGTTATCGGTGAAAGCACCGCGGCTAACTACAGGCTGGACGTACAATGTTCGTATCTTGACTTTTCGACCGTGTTCATTGAACGACTTTCTTCGGTCATAACAGTTTTCACGAATGCTCGGAATAATAGTCGTCGAACGTCAATTTGTCTGTTAGCAATTGACTTTCGAGGTTTCTCTTCATAGTGAAATCTTCAAGCATAGCTAACATTACAGTTGAAATTCCTTAACCGGTAATTTTATCTGTAGACGGGCCCCGACCGAAAGTGGACAGAACTATCAACGAAACGCTGAAGAAGCTGGAAGAGACCACTCTTCTCGGAACTAGTTTGGAGCCCTTTGAGTGCGACGACTTCGAGGCGAACCCACCGGCTCAGTACAGATGGGTGCACCTTCGAGGCGGCGTGACCGATACCATCGAGAATCCCCTGCAGAACAAGGACGGCGGTAAACGCCTGCGTTTGGAGAACGTGATGTGGTCCGACGAGGGGGAATATCGATGCGTGGCGTTCAACGTGATTAATGGAGTGCGGAGAGAAATGCCCAGCGAGGCTCGTTATATGCTCCACGTAACCGGCCCACCTGAGATTCAGGCGAGACCTGCTTCCGGGGAAAAGGGTTTCTACGAATCCTTGGGATGGACCGGGGAAGCCGAACATGTGCTTAAGTCTCGCTTTTGTTCGAGGCCGCCGCCTAGACTCGTTGCTTGGCAGTGGGGAAGCTCGCACATCAGGGCAGGTACGAGATACAATTCACTTTATTAGAATCATTTATTACAATCCACTTCATTTTTATTCTAAATCAAATTCTTCAGGAGAGAATATTCATCCGAAGTACGAGGCCCTCCCGCTGGAGCACATCAAGGAGAACGAGATGCTGACGAACTGCTACTGGGCGAAGTTGCTGATCAAGGATCTCCAAAAGGAGGATGCGCGGATCTACACTCTTCTGGTGGAGAGCGAGAAGGGTAGAGATTCGACCAACGTCAAATTGCTCGTCCGAGACTCGACGGAGATGAGGGTGATCGCGGCAGCCGCTGCTGTTGGTTTGCTGTTTCTTCTTCTTCTGATAACGACCGCTGTGTACTTCCTGCTGAGACTGAAGAACCGTCGGTACAGCCAGGAAGAGGAGGAGGGTAGTATCGCGGCGGACGCGTTTTATAGTAATACGACGCCGACCGAAAGGCAGAAGAATATTAATTCGCCGAGCAAGGGTTTTGGGAGGAAAGGGAACTCGGACGGGCTGGCTGTCACGTATGACTATGATCAGATCGCGAAACAGGTGCGGACTATGAGTCCTGAAGCTTTGAAAGTCAGGCGAGCGCCAGCTGTTCTTCAACCACCGACTATTGTGTAACTGTTAACGTGTTCATTGGCATGACGGTCGTTGACGACTAACATTGAACTGTATGTCTTGTTCCTTGCTGACGAAAGGCAGAGAACACGGTTCTCTTTGAGAAAAAAAGGACATCTTTAAACGAAGATAGCTCTTGTTTGATGCTCTTCACAGTGAGCTTAAGTATGACATTGTCATAGTTTTGTATTAAAATTGTACATATGTGAAAATGTTGCTAGTGTTTAGTTCAATGATTTGCTACTTAAGAATTTTATTATCAAGGTTAACTCTTTTGTTGTTATCATTGTTGCATTTAAGTTTTAGACAAAGAGATTTGAGGATATACAAAGCAAAGTTGATCTCTCTGTTAAGTATTTGTAACACTTTTGTAACATAGAGTCTTAACAGTTGTACTTACCATTAGTATAAATACTGTCAAATAAAATTGTTTTATAGCACAAGAGGTTATGAAGCCTTGAAGTGGATCTAGCATTTTTTAAAATAATAAGAGTTCACATTTCTTTCTTATTTATTTAATCTTTAACTCTCGGCTCCCTATCGCAGAAAAGACTATGTAACTACAGAATAGTACCGACAAGGCTACATAATACATTATTATTCTTTATGTATTAAATACACTTTACACAATGTAATGTTGTAGAAAAAAAAAGATATAATATTTGAGAAACATGTAATTTTGTTTCTCTTGAACATGTGTACATATTGCTGATACTTTAATACATTATAGGGTCATTGGTCCCGGATAGATGTTCTCAAATATATAATATTTGCAACATATATTATGACATCTATAAACTTAAACCGTACATTATTCATGTATTCGCATGTTCCTCAACACTTCTCTTAAAGTCAGGTACACTTTAAATAAATTCATTAACATCGCGTGTAAGGCATAATTCTAACATAATCCTTCCCTTTGTAGCTTTACGGTGCATTTAAAGAGAAACAATTTAACAATCGTAGTAACAGTGAATTCATTTTCATTGTATATAATTCATTTTTTGTTATATAATCAATATGTTGCATTTCTTTAACAATTTTCTGACGATGCTTTTCAATTCCTGACACATCAGGTATATATGAACACTGTAAAAACTAAAAAATGCAAGCTTTTCTCTAATGTTTGAGTTGATCATGTTACAGAACTCGTAAAAGATTAATCTTATACCGTAGAAACAAAAATTGACATTTATGGGCATAATTACAGTAATAAAAAAATACATGTATTTATCAAAAGATGCTTTTAAATTAATTCAACTGAAATAATTATAATGTTAGTTCTTTTTTCGTGGCCAACTCAACGCGGATCACGCTATTAACGTGAATATAAGTATATCTATTCGAGTAAAACTTGTATAGTACATAAAAATAATTTACACGAGTTAATATACTATGCAGCAAGGATAGGCACGCGTCCTTCCTAACATTTTCGAAGGAACTTTACATCGTGTTTGCCACATTTCATGAAGATCTGTACGCCTTTCACTTCGTTTTCAATGGGGTTACGATTGGGGTTTCTTGCGTCTACCAAATAGATTGCTCAAAACAGAACTCCGCTTATAATCGCGATCCTTACGATTATTACCCACGCTGTGTTCACTTTCTGATCCACTTTCGCTGGCTCTCCTACCGTCTACTACCGTAATATTTTGAGCGTTCTGTGGAACCGCTGGTGGCGCCACATACGGTGGCAAAGAAACTGGTCTACCGGTAAATGAATTATTCTGCTGCACACCCTACAATGTCCACAAAAGATATTTTAAAATAAGTACATTAGCCAAAAATTTTAATAGGCAAAGAACTTATCTATTTACCTGTCTAATAGTTACCGGAACATTTCCATAAGCTGTAACAGAAGAAATTGTTTTCCAAAATTATTTTCAGGTTAATTGCTTACAATAGCTATTCATCCATAAAACCATCTTTAATTTACAACTGGAGAACTTAGGAGAAGTGGATAAAACTGACAAGTAGCATGCAAAAATGAACACTGCGAAAGACAACACAAACAGCTGACGATGACTAACCAGGATCATGAGGAGTACTCCACTGAGCCATTCTGTTTGGTGGAGGGGCGCTTGATGGCAAAGGGGGTGCTAATTCTACAAAACAACCATGAGTTCTTAAACATCCAATGAAAAAGGGATACTCTACGCGTACACATACATTATTACTGTGGTTCCCTAACAGTATTTATTATACCTTGATGTTGCGTACTGAGATCTACGCTACTTTGCCTATGCCAAGTTGCATTCGATGGATACTGGCCAGATCCGTTATGGTTCAACGTAGCGCTACGTTGCTGATAAAAACCGGATCGTCCTTGCACGTGTTCCGTGTCTGTGAACATTTCATCTATGATCTTACATGTTTGTACAATTCCATTTCTCTGAAGATAACTATTTTAATTATCAAATCAATGTACCTTCGCGTCTATACTGAGGCAGAGCTTCAGAGCTGGGTGACCTCATGGGAATGGGAGGAGGAGCTCCTCTTGGCGGGATAGGTGGTTTGTCCCCGGAGTCTCTCTGACTCGCCAGTTGTTCCTGTTGTATCAATTGCTGCTGCTGCGCCAACAATTGCTGTTGTCTGTGCATTTGCAGAAACTCCGTCTGCGTTTGAGGTGGTTCACTCCTCTGAGAAGCTATGAACTCCGTGTTATTCTGCGGGTCGCGTTTCTGTTGATTCTGCCGGTGCATCTGGAGGAACTCTATCTGCACACTGCTGGGGGAATGTTGGTTCGACAGGTCGCGTCTGATCACCGAGTTCTTTCGTTCCAATTCAGGGGTCGAGGCGTGGCTACTGCCAGTCGAAACGTTGTCATCAGCATGATCTATGGACACGTTTTGCAGTCTCTGTAGGCCCTCTTTCTGCGACTCGTCGTAACTTAATAACTGCAAGCTAGGAGGTAATTTGGCGTGGAACGATATCTTATTGACCCAGTCCTCCATCTCCTGTTGACTAGGAGCTAGGAACAGGAATTCTGACCCGTCTGTACATTTCAGTCTGAACACGTTCTTCTTTTTCGTGTAGTCGTTAGCTTTCTCGCATATGGCGTTGAAGATGGTGATGGGAGCAGTGGCTGCTTTGCTCAGCGAGAAGTCCTCGGTGTCCTTGAAGAAACAGAGAAGTTGTCCACACAGTACTGTGTAATATTGTTTCCAGGAACGCACGGCCGCCTTCTTGCCGGCGCTCTGAAGCTCGTGTTTCCTTTCCAAGAAGCCTTGAATCTCCACTGGTGGCAGCGCATCCATGTTCTCCATCCTCTGGAGCTTCCTGAAGCTCTGAGTTCTTCTCCTGGTGGTGAAGCTAGGCGTCCTCTTCGGCTTCTTCGTGTCCACCTTCATGCTTTCAGCTCTTTTAATATCAGGAGTGGTTCTCCTCAGTTTCTCGCCAAACACGTGCGATATGCCATGTGTCTTCTGAATCGGAGTTGAATCCAAGTTCTCTGGAGCGTTGGCTGTCTTCAGCGGTGACAATTTATTGATGGATTCGTGTTCGTCCGACGTTCCGTTCACTTCATCGTGCATGGTTCGATGAGGACTATCCAGCAATCGCCTGCGTTCCTCTTCGCGCTTTCTCTCTTCCGTTATCCTCTGAACTTCCTTGCGCTTTCGTTCTTCAAGGCGAGCACGTTCCACTCTCTCCCTCTCCGCCTGCCTAGCCGCCATCTCCGCTTCCTGTTGTTTCTGGAACGCTTCCTCTAGCATGGTTATGCGTTGAAGCGCGTTGAACCTCTCTTCCTGTGCCTCGATGGTCTTCTCGAAGTCTTCATGTTTCCTTATCAGCTCTTCCACTTGCGGAATACTTTCACCCAACTTCCCGTCGTGCAGCATAGGCTCTCTGCTCACGATCCAGTTCTCCAAAGTCTCAGCTTCTCGCTTGAACAACTGAGTATCCAAGTTCTGCTCGTAGATATGTCTTCTTTGCTCCCAGGTGTCTTTCAAGAACTGCTGCCTTTGTTGTAAAACAGATATCTTGTCCTCGATCTCTTTACCCAAAAAGTGGCCTTCCTCTATCAACTCCTGGCCAGTTTTGTAAAACTTCTCGAAGGCCTCGTTACGCGTCTCAATCTCTGCTTTGTACTCGTTGTGCCTCGAAATCAATGCCTCGGCACCTGGCACGTCGCGAGCCAACTCTGGAGCTGTTACTTTGGCTACCATCTCGTTTATCCAAGACAGTAAGTCTCTGTATTCGCCCAAGTACGACTGCAGTTGTTCTGCTTGCGCCAGCTTGCTTCTTCTCTGAGCCGCTTTCTCCAGCAACTCGTTCCATGCTGCCTCAGCTTCTTGGTGCTTCACATCAATGTGGATGCGGGCATCCGGGAATAGCTCTATTAATCTTGAGGCTTCTTCCATAAGCGACTCGACCTGAAATATCAAGAATCAATTAGTGTTCTATCAAGTTCAAGCGGAGGTCCTAAACATACCTGCTCCTTCACAGCACCCAAATCAGTCTCAAATCCTTGATGCTTCCTCACTAGAGCTTGAATGGTCTCCAAATCGTGACCATAGCCGTCAGAGCTGAGAGCAGCCTCTTTCTCTTGGATCCACGAAATAGTTTCATCCGCTGTTCTATCAAACATGTGCACCTGTTTCGCTCCGGCCAACGCCTCCTGTCGTGCATGCGCTAGCTCCTTAAGGTCATCCCACTGCTGCTTCGTCTCCTCGATCTTCATCAGTATCTTACTCTTCTCCGGATTGTTTTCTTCAATCAATTTCTGTCCGTTCTCCAACACGCCTGATACTCGACCTTCACTGGTGGTCAAACTGGCCAAGAAGTTATCGAAGATCTGGATGAGAAGCTCCACATGTTCCACGTCGCGACCGTAGTCTTCCGAAGCGGCGACCGTCGTCTGATCTCCGATCCATTCGATGACTTCGTCCGCTTGCCTGATGAACTTGAAGAACTTCTCGCTTTCACGCAGGCGCTGGAACCGATGATCCTTCAGCTTCTGCAATTCCTTGAACTTCTGCTCTATGTCCGACTGTTTCTGCGTGATGTTCTTGCTATCAAAGTGGTGCCTCTCTATCAAACCCTGCGAAAGCTTCCTCAAGTTCTCAATGTTCTTTTCAAACCCGATAAGATCCCGCTCTATTTCTTCCAGTTTCTTGAGCAAAGACTGCACGGAGTCCTCGTCTTTCCCGTAGTCCGTGGAAGTTAGCTGTGGATGCTTCTCCTTTATCCACTGTTCAGACTCTGCAGCCTCGGCGTAGAACATCTGTGACTCAACAGCATCCAGCAGACGCAGTTTGCGAACGCTAGCTAGGTCCCTAAGGTGCGCAAGTTTCTCCTGCAGCTCCTGCGACAGTTTTTCAATCTTCTCCGACGCGAAGTGTCCGCTCCTCACCATAACTGTGGCTCTGCTAATTAAAGAAGCTACCACAGGCTCCCTCGAGATCAGTTCTGCCTCCAGACCTTGGTGCTTCTTCTGCAGTCTTTGTACGGTAGTCAAGGAACTGCCTAGGTCGTTGCTGGCAGCCAGAGGCTCCTTCTCGGACAGCCAGTGTAGCTCGTCTTCAACGTCTCGTGCAAACTGGTGCAACAACTTCGCGTCTTCTAGATTGTCTCTTCGTATCTGCATCGGCTCCTGCAGACTGTGGTACCTGTTTATGGTGACCATGGCTCTTTCTTGTATCTCGTCACACATGAAGTGATTGGACTTCTGGAAGCTGGTCGCTGTTTCCTTGATGGATTCGCAAGCTTCGTTGTGGCCCAGGACATCGTTCTCCAAGTTGGTGTGCCTCTTCAGCAAATTGGCGACGCTGGACAAGTCTTTTCCATGGTCCTCTGATTGTAGTTGAGTTTCTACCTCGTCCATCCAGGCCTCAAACTCGTCCAGAGTACGTCCAAAGAGTAGAGCCTGGTAAGCATCGTTCAACCTGTTCTTCTTCAGCTCACTTGTCTCTTGAAGTAAACGCCATTCTGCTTCCAGTTCATCCAAGCGTTCTTGTATGCTGTTCGCAGCGTAGTGGTTCTCTTCAATCAGGGCCTCACCTTCATTGATCACTGCCGCAACTCTTCCCTTGTTGGCCATCAACTCGCTCTCAAAGGCAGCGTGTTTCTGAATCTTGCTCTGCAGATTCGAAGAGTCCCTGTAGTTCTCGTCGCTAGCTACCTGTTGCTTCTGATGCAGCCAGCCTTCGACTTCGTATATGTTCCTGAGGAACTGGTGCAAATGATGACTCTCCAGCAGTTTCTTCCTTCTGGCTCTCGCACTATTCTGCAATCTGTCCCTTCTAGCACAAACTGACGCCAACCGCTGCTTTATGATGCTTGCGTCCGCATGCTCTCCAGACAAGATCTCATTCGCGAACTTCTCTAACTCTTCGATACGACCCAGTTGCGAGACCAGCATCTTCTCAAACTCCTCGTGCTTGCGCAGCAACGCTTCGACGCCAGAGAGGGACTCACCCAGGTCGTCGTTGTTAAGAAACGCTTCCTTCGTTGCCAGCCAGCTGTCAGCTTGGTCAGCCTGCTCCTTGAACAACTGCAGCTGATGCGCCTGTGTCAACTTTTGCCTCCTGATCTCCCATGCGTTGATTAGACCCTGTCTAATATCTTCCAAGTGTTCCAGATTATCTTCTACGTCCTCGTTGATCGCGAGGAGCTTCTGACCGTGTTCCTTCAGAGCTTTAAACGTGTCTTGTCTACCGTCGATCTCTGCCTTTCTCTCCTGATGAAGTTCCAGCAGAGCTTCAGCTTCCGATATAGTTGTCGGAGGCTCAGACTCGTCCATACGCTTAATGGTGTCCGCTACCCACAGCTCCAGTTCGTGCAAGTCTGCCTGGAACTTGCGCAAGGTGTAAGCTAGATTCAGAGCTTTGCGACGATGCTGAGTAAGGCGTTGAAGGTCGTCCCAGTTAGACTGCAGTTCTGACAATATTCCATTGATTTGTGGTGCCTTGTCCGGATACTTCTGCGACAGTTCTCGAGCTTCCGCCTTGTGCTCTTTCAGTTTGCCTTCTATGGCGGTCATGTCTCTCTCCATCGCCTCCTGCTTCCTCTGCAGATGTTCAACAGCAGGCAGGTCCTTGCCTACGTCAGTAGTGTTCATGGCGACTGACTTTTCAATGACTCTCTGACTCGTGTCATCTATGTCCCTGTTGAACAGATGAATCTCCAAAGCTCCAGCGAGTGTCTCCCTATAGGCGCTCAGTGCTCCTTGCAGACCTTTCCATTTATTATTGAAATTGTCACGGCGCTGTTGAATAGCCTTGGACTCGTTGTCCCTACCTTGTTTGATCAGTTTGTCTGCTAGAGCATTGATAGCCTTGATCCTGGAGTCGTCCACTCTCATATCACTGTCCACATCGTCGAGTTTTCTTTGGAGACTGAGACAGTGTTCGTAGTCCTTTCCGGTGTCTCCTGCTTGCACCATCATTTCCTTGTCTCGTATCCACGCCTCAATCTTTTCTACCTGGTTGTTGAATTCTAGGATGTCCTGCGCTTCTTCAAGGCCCCTGCCACGATTACCAGATTCTAGCAGCAGCCTTCTCCAGGACGCGTGCAGGTGTTCCAGTTGCTGACGGATTTCGTTGCTTGCTGGGTGCTTCTGCGTGAGCAGCGTCTCGCCTTTGGCTTTGATTTCTTCTATTCTGCTTTGATTCGCTGCTAGTTCTGCCTGGAACGCTTGATGCTTCTGTAACTTCTTGATCTTGTCTTCCAAACTGGACACTTCTCCTTTCGACGCTTCAGCCTCGAGTTTCTTCTGCTTCTCACCGATCCAGGATTCCGCTTCCGCGACATCCCTGACAAACTGCGCGTGTAACAAACCAGCTTCCAGTCTCTTTCTTCGTGCGTCACACAGAGTGCGAATTCTAGCTCGTCTCTGTACAACTTCGCTCAACCTTTTCGCAATCGTGGGGGAATCAAAGTGATTCTGCGCTAGAAGCTTGTCTCCGTGTTCCTGCAGAGCTGTCAGCTTCTCCTCTTGCGTTACCAGCAACTTCTCGAATTCGTTGTGCTTCTTCACTTGCGCGTCTACTTCTTCGACGGAGTCTCCGAAGTTGTCGCCGCTGAGTGCAGCTTCTTGAGTAGAGGATAAGTTATCCAACTGTTTGGCATCTCGCAGGAAGAAGTGTAAATCTATCAGTTGATCCAAGTGAATCTTTTTCTGCTGCCAGGCGGTGTGCAGCTTCTGCCTTTCATCGAGCAGCTGATTGCACTTCTCTTCCACCTCTAAGGCAGCGTAATGTCCGGTTTGAACCATGGCTTCACCCAGATCCAGAACGGAACTGAAGCTGTCTTCTCTCGCTTCGATCTCTCCTTTCAAAGCCTCGTGCTCTGCCTTCAGAATCTGCGCACTTGCCGCATCCCTCACTTTATCCTCCGTCGACATCGTAGCGCGAAGTCCAGCCGCCCAGTTCATCAAATCTCTGACCTGAGTGAGGAATCGTTGCAAGTCGCAACTTGCTTGTAACTGATCTCTTCTATGAGCTGATCTTTCCTTCAGTTCTTCCCAGTGAGCCACGACGATCTGTTGCTGCTGGTCAATGTGCACCGCGTTGTTTCCTGGATAGTGAGCTTGCAACCTTGATGCATCTTCGACTAAGACTTGAAGTTGCGCTTCTAAGGCGACTAGATCGTTCTCGAAACCTTCGTGACGTCTGATTAACGCCAGGACGGAGTTCAGATCGCGTCCTAGGTCTTCCGGTAAAGCTGCTTCCTTCTCTTGTATGCGGGATAAAGCTTCCGCGACGTCGCGATGGAATCTGTGGATTTCCCCTGCAGCCTGCAACCTTTGCTCGCGGTTTCGAATAAGGCCAAGAAGATGTTGCCAGGATTCCCTAATAGAGTAATAAAGATTTGGTTAGTTTGTATATTACATGTCATAGGCAACACAATTCATATAATGCATTCCACAGAATTAAACACAGCTAGATTTCTACAACACTTACTTCATTGCGGCATGCTGTCTCTGCACCTGACTTACAGGATCATCATCGTCCGGTCTGCGTTAAATATATATACAAAAATACTGTTAGTAACCCAGCACCAATATCATCCCCTAATACCATCCTACTCTTCTGACTAATTCATACACCTCTATTTCTTATTATAGATTACATTAGCAATACACTATTGAAGATACTAAGTTCAAAAGAATTGAACATGCATTTAGTGAATGAGTTTGAAAGTGCCCTGAACCAAGTACATTCTAAGTCCAACTTATATACATATTCATTACAATTGTTCTTAAACCTTACCCTAACTGTTCCTGTCGTTTCTCAATGTCTTGAATATAAGGGCTCTCATTAGCTATCAATTTTCTAGCCAACTCTTCGCACTGGTTGAATCGTTCGGAACCAGCTTCTATCCTATGTTTGAAATCATTGAATTTAGCTTGCAGTATCAGCAGGTGTTCATAGTCTTGACCATAGTCTTCAGAGGCGGCGGCTTGTTCTTGTTCCTTGATCCATTGTTCTAACTCTCTGCTCTCCAAGAAGTACTCGTGTCGGTACATACTCTCCATCAAACGTTGCTGTCTCACCGTCGCCAATCTTTGCAGAGCGCGCATTTGCTGAGCAATCGCTTGTTGCTTGTTCGCTATCGCTTTGCTGTCAGGGTGTTTAGCATTAATCATTACAGACGCTGTGTGTCCCATCTCAGTTATGATACCGTTGTAAGTGTCCAGCTCTAGTTCAACCGCCTGGAACATTAATTATTTTCAAATAAATTTACTTGACATCATCCTCCTTAATGATGCGAAAGTGAATGTACCTTGTGTTTGGTCAGCAATTTTGTTGCGGCATCACGGTCCCTGCCATAATCAGTGGAACTGAGAACGTCATTCTTTTCGTTCAACCAACTTTCAACTTCTCCCGCCTCGAAGAAGAACTCCTGCGCCTTCAGTGATAAATCTAGAACCTTGCTTCGCTCTGCGGCTTTTTCTTGCAGGTCCCTCCATGCTTCGTCAAGCACATCACACAATTCTCGTATCTATACAAACGTATAATTACATTAAAGAAAACAGGTGCAGGAGAAAATATGTTATTAGCACTGACAAAGAAAACAACAAATAGGTCTCCATTTCTAAAACGAAAATCCTGTTCATATAAAGTGATCATAATAAAAAATAACATGTGTAAAAAATAACTCTGTAAATAATCTTGTTTGAAAAAGTCGATGTAAGTCAAGCACATGCATGCATTAAAAAATATTTTAAGACACCGAAGGTACACTGCGCTCTTGAAGTATCGTTCTTCATAATTTGACGCTTTTGTTATTTCTTAAATAAGACAACACTATTCATGCATCTGTGCCGACCTTACCTCTACAGACCCAATACTCTTGTAACAGTCCCAACTGTACAAAAATTACAAACGTTTATTTTAACTTCACCAGTGACGTGTAAGAACAATAAATAAAGAAGTGCATTTTTCCCTGAAAACATCTTCAAGTCGTGTGATAGAAATTTTACCTTCTTCTTCTCCGGATGAGCCTGATCGATCAAAGTCTGTCCAGAAGCCAAAGTTTTGTCTATCATAGGTTGATGACCTGCGATTTCAGCTTCAAGTTTCTTGTGCTTCTTATGCAAGGTTTGAGCTTGATGCAAATTCTGTCCAAGCGTAGTTGAGGACGCTTGAGGAAGATGATCCTTAATCCACTGCAGCTCGGCGTCTAATTCAAAACCAAATTTATGGAATCGCAAGCTTTCTTCTAAAGCTTCTCGTCTTCTCTTCGCTGGCTCCTTCAAGCTACGGAACCTGCAGAGCAATAAAGTGGGATATTAAAGATGATAACATTTCTTATGACATATGATACGTACTTTCTTTGCGTAGCTTGACTGGCTTTCAATATATTCGCAGCATCAAAATGTCCTTCATGCGCCATTTCTTCACCCATGGCGACAAGATCATCCACCTTCTGTTCCCACTGACACATGTCGCTTTCAAGCGTCTGATGCTTCTTCAGCAGCTCCTTACAACTTCTCAGATCGATTCCAACTTGTTTGCTCTGTAAGCAGTTTTCAATTTCTTCTAACTTCAACCTGGCATCTTCCATGGTACGGTTGTAACCATGCTGGCAGGCAGCTTGTCTCAACCTTCGACCTTTCTCCAAAGACAAAGCTACCAGCCTATCCCACTGATCATTCAGTTCCTTCAACGTCTTTCCCACGTCGTCTGATCTATAATTCTCTTCAGATATTAAGGCTTTGCCAGCCTTGTTCACTGCCCTCAACTGTCCTTCGTTAGCTCTCAATTCCCTTTCGAACGCCTCGTGCTTCTGTAGCTTTCGTTCGAGATTGTTTAAGTCACGGTAACTCTCATCAGACGCAGTTTTCATTTTGTCGCCCAACCAATCTCGGAGGTCATCCACCTCGGCTGAGAATTGCTGATAGTGTTCCGACGCTTTCAACGCTGCTCGACGACGTTGTGCAGCGTCTTTGACCGCCATTCTTCTGGCCAGAACTTGGTTTCTTCTATCGTTGATGCTGTTAAAATTTATTCACAAATTAGAGATAGAATTAGAAGCTCGGAGAAGCTTCAGGATACTTACTAGTCCTTGTCGTAATGGTTCTGAGCGATCAACTTATCGGCAGTGTCGCTGAACGCTTTCAGTCGATCGTCCTGCGCGTGGAGAGTGTTCTCAAACTTCTCGTGCTGTTTTAACAAAGCTTCAACGTCGTCCAGAGATTCTCCCAGGTCGGTGAAGTCCAGGAACGCTTCATGGGAACTAGTAGTCGCTTCTATTTGATCAGCCTCGCGATTAAATTGTTGCAGCTCCAGACACTGCTGTAGCCAAGCTTCCTTTGCTACCCAGTCCGAGGTTACAGCTTGATACAAACCGCGCAACTTGTCTAAACGTTCGCTAACATCCACCAGAGTCGGATTACGGTGCAGCAATTGATTTCCAAGCTCTTCGACTTCTCGAAACCTAAAGAAATGCATGCATGAATAATTTACATGGTTCACTAACAAGAGTCGCGGGAAACATGATACTCACTCGTCCTCTCGCGTTCGTATATCTTCTCCGAGTTCCATGTGCTGTTTCCTGAGTTGCTCTGCGGTTGCAACATCCCTAACAGGTTCTTCGACCTTCATCGTTTCTTGCACGTCGGCAGCCCAGTTAATTAAATTTTTCGAGCTGTTCATGAAAATCTGCTGGCCTACCGCGTCCTCTAGTCTGGACCTACGCTCCTTAGCTTTTGTCTGGACTTGATTCCAGAGTTCTTTGATCTCATTTTGTCGGGCGTTCACGTTGTTTAGCTCGTGAGGGTACGAACTCTTCACGCTGTTTGCTAATAGGTTTACCTTACGTACCTGAAATAGAAGATGTTAATATGAAATCTTTGGAAAGTAAATTTAAAAAACAATTGGAGTTGAGTTCATACTTTTTCTTCAACTGGTGCTAACTCTCTCTCCAAGTGCTGATGTCGTCGCTGTAAAGCTTGAACTGTTTTTAGATCTGGTCCCAGTTCTGCAGTGTCTAATTGCGTGATTTTTTCTAACATCCAATCATGAGCTTCGTCGCAAGTCCTGTTGAACAGTTCCACACTCGAGGCTCCTTCCAAGCTCTTTTCCTTTTGCGCTTTCAACCAATTCAGGTGGTCCCAAAGTTGATGAATGTGCCTTTGTCTGGCTTTCACCTTGTCCAGCTGACTGTGACCCTGCCTGACGAACTCGTCGACCGCAGCATCAATAGCTTCGACGCGTTTTCCCGAGGCTGAGAGGTCCGTCAAGAACTTCTCGTACTTCCTCTTCGCTGTCTCTACGTTTTCGCGTTTCAACGTCACCTCGTCGGCTCTTAGCATCTTCTCTTTGTCCTTGATCCACTTCTCGAAGTCATCGCATTCGCGGTAGAAGCCATAAAGACGTATGGCGTCTTCTAACAACGCGTGCCGCTTCAGTGCCAATTCTTGAAGCTCGCTGTAGGTATCATTAATCTTCTTCTGTCGTTTTTCCACGCTGTCTCCGTCAGAGGCAGTTTTCCTCTTAATCGGTTTGACCGTCGACTTTATAGACTTGACTCTTCTAACAGGAACTAATTGCTTCACCATCTTCGTCTTCTTCACTCTCTGCGTTACCCTGACCTTTTCCGGTCTCCTGACTTGAACCTGTATGACTTTAGGCTCGATTTCACGGACATAGTTGGCTGGTACGAAACCATCGGTGCCGTCAGCTTTTCTGACGCTCCACCAGTCTGGGTTTGTCTTGTTCAACAAGAACATCACTTCACCTTTGACCATATGCATACCCTGCCCACTGAACGGGTATAAACTTTTTACTTGAGGTACCAGTCTCTCTTCGAGGACGGTTTTGGGCTCCAACCTCTCCACGACTTCGTCCACCCACTCGTCTTGCGGAACCAATCTTATCTCTTTACCTAATAAGAAGAAAATGATCATTACGCTTTATTCTGAAAAGGAAAGTTACATTTTATCGTAATACGATGCAAAAACTTACTCCACTCTTCCTGCTCCAACTCCGCAACCGGTTCTGGATCAGCAGACAGCTCCAGAGTTGAAATCCCGGACTTAATAAGCTTCTCGGCTTGCATGTTGAGCGACTGCACGTCACCTTTGTAAGCATTCAGCTCTCCCTCCAGGTCCTTATGCCTTTGCAAAAGCGCTTGAGCGCTAGGTTCATCTACTCCATAGTCTTCGGAAGCCACAAGGGCCATCTTCTCGTTCATCCAAGAATCCGCTTCGTTCGCGTCCGCATAAAATTGAAAAGCTTCTGCCGCGTCATCTAACTGCTTCTTCCTGAGTGCCGCCAACTCCTCCAGGACCTTCCAGTGTTCTTGCAAAGAGTCGATGCGATTCTGTATTTCTAAGGACGACGGGTGATTATCGGCAATCAGTTTGCGTCCAGCGTCGCACAGCTGTTCAGACTTCGGCCTCCGTACTTTCATCTCGTCCTGCAGAGCTTTGTGTTTCTGCTGCAAGGAAATTACAGCTCTCAAGTCCTTCGCGGATATTCCAGCCTTGCAGATCCGCTGCTTCTCGATCAGCCAGGATTCCTCGTCCTCGTGATCCTGCAGGAAATGGAAGAAGTTCCTGGCGTCCTCCAGCCGAGCCTTGCGTTCCTTGCTGTACTCCACCAGATCATCATACGCGCGGTTCAACATCTCCAATTTCTGTTGCAGAAGAGGTACCTCCTTGCTCTGAGGCTGTGCCAAGTGCTGAGCCGCTTGTCTACCCAGCCTCCTCTGCGTCTCTCCAAGAGCAGTCACCTGCAGCTCCTGCAGGCTGTGCTTCTGCAACAGGTCCTCGACTCCCAGCAAGTGTGGACCAACGTCGGTGCTCTGGAAGTTCAGTTGCAGCTCCTGAATCGAGGCCAGGGTCGTGTCGATCTCGCGCATGAGGCTCATGAGGAAGCTGAGGGCAATCAAGTTGGACTTGTGGTGATCCAGAAGAGCCAGAAGTTCCTTCCACCTCTGCAACACTTCCTGTTCCCTCACTCGTACCCGCTCGAGGCCATGGTAGTTCTCTCTGACGAGCTCCTCCGACATATTCGTCAAATCGTGGAAGCGTTCTTCTCGCGCTAAGATGTCCGCGCTAATAGCCTCGTGCTTCTTCACCGTGGCGTCCACCTGCGCCAAATTGCTACCGTATCTCGGGTCCGTCAACACCTGAATCATCTCCTTGAGATAGCCTTCTCGGAGGACGCTCTTCCTCTCGAACTTGTAGTTCAATTGTTCTAGTCTCTCTTGTCGCAGCAGCTCGGTTCTGAGAGCCACTTCCCTGCGATGCTCCGCTCGTTCCAATTCCACCCAGTTCCTTTCGATATCGTGCACTAATTGGCCCTCTTGCGGTGTGAACGCGGGCTGATTCAAGGACTTTAATTGCGTGTTTATGTGAAAATACAAGGCCTCTATTTCGGAACGTTCCTTGTATTTCGGCGGTTTCTCCACGGTTCTATACTGCTTGAAGGCTAACAGTTCCCGTTGAATGCCCTCTAGAGAGTTGGGAAAGTTTCTGTTTTCTAGCACCTCGATTTTCATCTTGATCCACTCTAACAAGTCCGTCGTAAGCTTTTCGTAATGAATCTTCATTTTGTCCGCGTCCATCATTTGCCCCACAATCTGGAAACATTAAACAGACAAATGAGCAAGTTTTAACGACGCGACTCGGGATAAATCGACGTACATTCGCGATTCGCTTGCCACTTTTGATCTCGTTCTTCATCCTGGCGAAGGTGTGGTAATAAGAGGCGACGTAAGTGATGATGGATTTCTCATCCGGCCGAGCTGTGTCCACGTCCTCGGCGTCCAACAGTCTCGGTATTCCGAGTTCCGAGTTCGCCACGTCGAAGGCATAATTGAGGTTGTCGATATTCTTATTCTGCTGCAGCTCGGACCACTCCACCAAGTCTGGACGGTGGGCGTGGATGAGGGCGTTGAAACCCAGACCGCTCCTCCAGGACCCTACAATTAAATTTCGTGTAATTAAAAATTTTCAAGGTCCTTATTCTTGAAGTATTTTAGCACAACGGTCACATCTAAGCCTTTGTGATAAATTTTATATTTTAGTAGAAATACCAGTGAAATCTTGGATGTTGACACCAGGGTATCCATTGGTCTTCCTCTGACACCATAACAACAAAGCATCTTTGGCTGACTTCTTCTCGCTGCTATCATTTTCTTCGTCCACGTCGATCTCGATCTCCTGAATTTGGAACCTCAAAATGATCGTCCATATGAGACCCAGTATCAACCTAGGGTTTCCATCGACGATGTCCTCCGCTCCTATACTCTCCAAGCGAACCTATCAGGAAATAATCATTAATAATGTATTTCATAATTAATCTCTTGGCTTAAGGTGCATTCACGCTTATCATTGATCATCGGATTTCTCTTTCTGGGTTTCATGAAAATTCTTCGCCGTAGGATCAGGTGAACGCAACCGCATAATGTTCTCGCAGAATTTATGAGAAGGGATCGGTGGACTTCTGGCACAATGATATTCGCATTCCATCGTACACGTGTGTACACATACGCGGACGGATAAGTAAACGAGAGGAATGCACGCTGGCTATTGGCATCGTGGTGTATTGCGTAAAGAGTGGGCCTTAATGGGCGCCTATGCACGAGCATCTCGCCATGATAAAACGGACATGCAGCCACGTTGCGTCATGTGAAAAGTAAGAACTGCTAGACGGCCTTGAGTCTAACACATGTGTACAATAAAGTATTCGAAACAAAAAACTGATGTTATGCGTGATCATCCGATTACTGTTATTACTAAGGGCGATTTTATGGAGCCTGGGAAAATTCGGGATGTTGCATCTGGAGGTGAAACCTTTTATTTGTTAACAAGTTATATAATTTTTAATGGGTAACTTCTTGAAATTTTTATGTTCTTTTGCGTTCGAGAGGTAACTCAGTCGCCATTTCATTTAATAGAATAGTTTGGAATGAGTATTTTTTAACCTATTTTATAATATGACACGAGTGTGTCACAAATAAAATGGCGACTGAGAGTCACCTCTCGAAAGCAAAAGAACATAAAAATTTCAAGAAGTTACACATTAAAAATTTGATAACTTGTTAACAAAGAAAAGTGTATGTCACACGTGTTATATAAACATAGTGAAACATTAGTGGAAATTATTAGTAGAGAAATAATAAAACCTCGAAAGGATTCATTTAACTTTTTAAGTAAGTTTTAAAGTTGCTGTTTGCGAACAGTCAAATTACCTTCGAGTGCAGAGGGTTAATTTATAGATTTGTAAATCTAAAATTCTTCAAATTTATAATCTTTGAGATTCAACTCGTAGAGTACTATTTTTCAAACCTTCAAAGTCTCACGTATCACATTCTTAAGTTCCTAAGTCCCCAAATCCTTGCATTCCCAAAATCTTTCAATTTCTAATCTCTCAGTTCTATCTTGACAAATCCACTTTCTGCATCTGCAAATTCACAAATCCCTTCATCTCCAAATCTCTAAATCCCTAAATCCCCTATATTTCCAAATCCCCAAATCCTTAAATTTCCAAACTCTCAAAGTGCCAAATCCCTAAATTTCCAAGTCACTAAATCCTCAAATTCCTAAAACTCTAAATCTCCAAATTTCCAAATCCCTAAATTTTCAAACTCTCAAATTCCCAAATTCCTAAGTCTCCAAACTCTCAAATTCCTAAATTTCCAAGTCACCAAATCCCCAATTTCCCAAATTCCCAAATCCCTAAATTTCCGAACTCTCAAATTCCCAAGTCCCTAAATTTCCAAACCCCCAAATTCCCAAATCCCTAAATTTCCAAGTCACCAAATCCCCAATTTCCCAAAACCCTAAATCCCCAAATTTCCAAATCCCTAAATTTCCAAACTCTCAAATTCCCAAATCTCTAAATTTCCAAATCCCTAAATTTCCAAACTCTCAAATCCCCAAATCCCCAAATCTCTAAATCTCCAAACTTTCAAATTTCCAAATCCCTAAATTTGCAAATCACTAAATCCCCAAATTCCCTAAATCCTGAACCTTCAAATCCCCAAATCCCTAAATCTCCAAACTCTCAAGTTTCCAAATCCTAAACTTCCAAATCCCCAAATCCCCAAATCCCCAAATCCCCAAATCCCCAAATTCCCAAATTCCCAAATTCCCAAAACCCTAAACCTTCAAATCCCCAAATTCCTAAATCTCCAAATTCTCAAATTTCCAAATCCTAAACTTCCAAATCCCCAAATCCCCGAATCCCCAAACTCCCAAACTCCCAAACTCCCAAATTCCCAAATCCCCAAATCCCCAAATCCCCAAATTCCCAAATCCCCAAATCCCCAAATCCCCAAATCCCCAAATCCCCAAATCCCTACACCCCCAAATCCCCAACTCCTCCTTCCACCAAAAGAAAGCTTCAGCAACCGACGTGACTGTAGCGGTATTCGAACCTCCGCGTTCATTTCATTGATTTCTTCGATGGAACAATCGAGACCTCGAAGAAATGCTTGTGGGCCAAGTGTTCCCGCTCTCGGCTACATTATTATACTTAATCGCAGTGTGTGCCTGAAGCGCGACGTTCTCGCGATTGTTGGAATGCCGTCCGATCACTTGTACCGTGGTCTATCAAGGCCATTGAGAAATGAAAATCGTTTCTTTCAGGTCGGCTGACATCTCGCGGAATTCGAGGGACACAAAACGCGTAAAAAATAAGAAACATTGATTGGATAAAAATAAAACGCATCGGAGAACCAAACTGGATAATGAAACTGGCGAAGTTACGGAACCGAGAATTCGCGATGAACTCGACCGTTCACTTTTCCTGGTCAGTAATTTAGTTATGTTATTCGAGTAATTGATAGTAAACATATCGGTACAGTTTTTAATACCTTGTTAGTTTTTGATAATCAAGGCGTTAAACGTGGAGGAAATTTTTAATGGAAGCTGTCAAGTGTGGGAGTAATGTTCAAAAAGTAGCGGGAAATTTGAATGTGGGAGAAGGTGAAATGTTATTGAAGTTTTATAGTTTTTGATTATAATATGAAGAGGCGTGTCTTTAACTATTCTTTAAGTATTAAACTTCTTTAACTATTAAACTTGTTCATCTATAATAATACAGCAATGTAGGAATCAATAATGAGGGAGGTGTACGCAGAGCGCGAAATTCAAACGCGCGAACGCACGAGAACGTGAAGTGCAACCGAAGTTTTATAGCTTTTAAGTATGAAATGAATAAAGAGGTGTATTTAAGAATTACATATTGCTTCTTTAACTATTAAACTTGTTCATTTATAACTCTACAGCAGTGTAGGAATCAATAATAGGAAGGTGTGCGCAGGGCGCGAAATTCGAACGCGTGAAGGCACGAAATTTTGAATGCACGAGAACGTAAAATATAATCGAAGGTTTATAGCTATTAATTATAACAAGAATGAAGAGATGTATTTAAGAATTATCATCCGCTAACTATTAAACTCTTTATCCATAATTTTAAAGCATTGGAAGCAATAACGGGGTAGGCGCGCGAAATTCAAACGCGCAAAGGCGGAAAAATTTGAAAGTACAATAATGTGAAATGTACTTGAAGTTTTGTAGCTTTTAACTATAAAATAAGTGCACGTGGTGTGTCTAAGAATTACCAATCGTCCTATAACTATTACACTCTGTATCTATAATTTCAAAGCACAGTACGGGCGGGAAATTCAAACGCGCAAAGGCGCAAAATTTTAAAAGTACAATAATGTGAAATGTAATTGAAATTTTGTAGCTTTCAGCTACAACACGAGTGTACGGTGTCTAAGAATTACTAATCACTCTTCAACAATTAAACCCTGTATCTAATTTCAAAGTCCGGGCGGGAAATTCAAACGCGCGAAGGCGGAAAACGACTGCGACAAAATTTACGGTTTCCAGTTACATGAAGATATATACCCAGGATACGATAGCCTTCAAGATCATTCTCATTTCCATGCGGAAGTCGTACGTTATTCCCAGGCGCGGGCATCGAACCATTACACCTCGTCTAATTACCAACGTAGCGAACAAGAGTTCAAACTCGTCGAGCTCATTGAAAAACGATGCGAACCTCGCAAACAAATTCCTCCCATTTGCATTAGAATCAATCATGCCGACTTACCGAACGTGCGATTAGCTCGCGGCGTGTAAACAAATGCTTGCAAGACTCGCATTACACCGAGGCAAATGTGCCCTTCCTGTCGCGTAATTTGTAGCCGTGCAACGGGTATGTGTAACGATCAACGGCCTCGCATCAGAAGTGATCGGTCGATAATAACGGACCTTCAATCTGCATAATGGGCCTTAGAGCTGGCGTTAGCGGGACCATCCTCCTCTTTATTATTTTTATCACCGTAATGTATCATCACGGTGTGACGAGGATTGATGTCTGAATGTTGCGGTAGATGATTCTATCACGCGATGGATATCTTGCACTTGTTTTATTGGGGGGAATATTTCCGGCGTTTGGGAAACGGTGATTTGTCTTTGCGCAGATCATTGGGAAATGTATATTCATGTGCAGAAGACGCGCTAAGTTTACTCGTAATACTCACAGAGTTTATAGATGGAGATACTTTATATAACTTAGGTGAAATTGAGGAGTTGGGGTATAAGAGATTGGGAAAATAGGAAATTGGGAAATTGAGAAATTGGGAAAATTGGAAATTGGGAAATTGAGAAATTGGGAAAAGTGGAAATTGGAAAAATTAGAAATTGGGAAAAGTGGAAATTGGAAAATTGAGAAATTGGGAAATTGGGAAAATAGGAAAATGGAAAATTGAGAAATTGAGAAAAGTGGAAATGGGGAAATTGAGAAATTGGGAAAATAGGAAATTGGAAAATTGAGAAAATGGGAAAATAGGAAATTGGAAAATTGAGAAATTGGGAAAAGTGGAAATTGGGAAATTGGGAAAATAGGAAATTGGAAAACTGAGAAATTGCGAAAAGTGGAAATTGGGAAAATAGAAAATTGGAAATTGGAAAAATAGAAAATTGGGGTTTGAAAGCACCAAGCTAAGACACCCAAAAAATTAAAAAATGTAGACTAGCAAAATTTGAGTACATGATGCAGTCCTCCCACCTAGCCTCCTCCCCAACCCCCATGATCTCACCCGTTTCACACCAGGTAGTCTAAACGTTCCCATAATCGCTCTTTCGACGATACGAAAGTTTTAAGAAGTCATCGAAAGGGTCAATATTATGTGACGGTAGGAGTGCGGCAACCCGTTAACCCGGCCACGGAGATCAACCTTCGAATTTCCAACCAGTCGAACTGCATACGATCACGTTATAAGCGGTCGGCTATCAGCGGTATG